ATTAATTTATTTAAAGTATTAAATGTCTTTGAATTAAAAAAAATGAACTTTTTTTATACATATTTTATACTTTTTTAGAAATGGGGTCTAATAGACCCCCACGCGACTATGAACGTTAAAAATAGGTACGCGCCTGCTTAAGGGTTAAATATAACTTTAATTAAAAAAAAATCTTTAGTTTAGACACTAGATTTTTATGCTTTCCATAGGCTATATAAATTTCATTCATATCAATTGAGTGGTTTTTGAATTAGAGAGGTCACCAACTCTTGAAAGGTGATCTAACAAATAAAGCTATAACTTGATCTACTATCATTTTTTATTTTAATTTTGTCAAATATAGTTAAAACATAATATAACGACTTATATAATTTGTTGAATAAAATAAACTAAACTAATTTCAAAATTTTTTTTTAAAATACTCATTTTTTCAACACTCTAACTACCCATAACCCCTTAATATTACAATAAAATGTCTAATTTATTAAACAGTTAGTTTAATTTTTAATACAATTTTGAACTTTACAAATAAAAAAAAAAATATTACAAAAAAGTAGATTTTGTATAATTTTTAATTTTCAATAAGATTTTTGCAAGGGTCTAGTATGAATTAAAAGACGTGAATACTTAGACTTTTATCATTAGAAAAATAAAAAATTGTAACTATTCTTTTCCATCAAAAAATTTAGTTAAATATAACAGTTGTATTTAATATTTAAATTTTTCCTTTAATTGTACTTTTTTCTTAAAGCGTAGTAATATTTAAAAAAACGGTAGCACAGTGAGGTTGCGGCATAGTGGAGACATTGCATAGTAGGGTCCAGTATAGATTTAATCTGACAGTGATTAAAATCACTATCATAAGAAACGCTTCGATGCAAATCTGTAGATAGTGTTTAATTTTAAAAAATTGATGGATAATTGCAAAAGCAACATCAACTTCTATTAAAATAAAATACAAAACCCATAATTATCATACAAAAATAGTATATTTTTCAATATGGTAGCCATTTGCGTATAGAAGATAGATCGTCGGGACAAATTTTTTTTTTTCATTTTATAGTACATAAAAAAAGCTTTAATTTGATATATGTTTAAAGGACGCAGTATTTCCGGAACATTTTCAAAAGTTCAGTTGAAAAAGTTCTATTTTTTATACAATGTTTCAAAGTTTGAACCCCCCCTATATAAGGGGAAATTGTCTAATTTTAATAAAAAGTATGTCAAATGGAAGATGTACTTATAATGTATTTAGAAAAAAAAAAATTGTGCTGATACATGCATTTTTCGAAAAGTTATAGCATTTTTAAGTTGAAAATTAAAAATTGAAAATCGAAAATTTTAACACAAAAATAGTGTTTTTTTAACTACGGCAACCGTTTACATGCAGAAGATAAAGTGTCGGGACAAATTTTTTTTTTTCATTTTATAGTACATAAAATAAGCTTTAATTTGATATATGTTTAAAGGACGCAGTATTTCCGGAACATTTTCAAAAATTAAGTTGAAAAAGTTAGTTTTTGTAAAAAAGTTGCAATTTTAAATCCCCCCCCATGAGCAGGTTAAGTGTTAAATTTTCAAAAAAATTATATCAAATGAAAGGAAAATATCTAAGGTTTTAGTTTAAAAAAAAATTATGTTGATTTGTTGATTTTTGAAAAAGTTATGGAAGTTTTAAGAAAAAAAAGTGAAAAAAATGACAAAATTTGTCGATTTTTAAATTTGTAATTTTTTTGGATATTTCCCCCATTTGCGGGGAACGAGGGAAAATTTTTAAATTTTTAAGGGTAATGTCTTCAACTAGATACAATTTGTGATCTTTTGACGTATTGTTAAAAGAAATCGGTCCAGTGAGAGCTGAGAAAAAGTAGTGACAGACACAAAAAAAAAAAATAAACACATCATGGTAAAATTAATACCTTCTCAGCTTCGCATCGAAGCTAATAATAAAAAAAAAAAAACACATCATGATAAAATTAATACCTTCTCAGCTTCGCATCGAAGCTAAAATTAACCCAACAGTAACACAGTGGGTTCATGGCACAGTATGGACGTGGCATAATTGGGACAAGTACAGTAATTAAAATCACTATCATAAGAAACACTTTGATCCAAATTAGTAGACAATGTTTAATTTGAAAAAATTGATGGATTATTCCAAAAGCAAAATTGACTCCTATTTCTTGTTCAACTTTGACTGCTATTTTCATATAGAAGATAGGTGAAAATGTGAAAATTTTTTTTTTAACTTATAATATGCAACATGAGCTTTAAGTTAACGTATATTTAAAAGACGCAGTATTTCCGGAACATTTTCAAAAGTTAAATTGTTTGATTAAAAAAAAATATTATTTAACCATGATGTGTGTGTGTTTTTTTTTTTTTTTTATGTCTGTTACCACTTTTTCTCAGCTCTCACTGGACCTATGTCTTTTAACAATACGTCAAAAGATCACAAATCGTATCTAGTTGAAGACATTACTCTCAAAAATTTAAAAATTTTCCCTCGTTCCTAGCAAATGGGGTAAATCTCCAAAAAAATTTAAATTTAAAAATCCGTAAATTTTGTCATTTTTTTAACTTTTTTTTCTTAAAACTTCCATAACTTTTTCAAAAATAAACAAATCAACATAATTTTTTTTTATACTAAAACCTTAGATATTTCCCTTTTATTTAATATCATTTTTTTGAAAATTTAACACTTAACCTGCTCACTGGATGGGATTTAAAATGGCAACTTTTTTACAAAAACTAACCTTTTCAACTTAATTTTTGAAAATGTTCCAGAAATACTGCGTCCTTTAAATATATGTCAAATTAAAGCTTATGTCATGTACTGTAAAATTAAAAAAAAATATATTTATCCCGACGACCTATCTTCTATGCGCAAAAGGCTACCGTATTTAAAAATATGCAATTTTTGTATTAAAATTCTGGGTTTTGTATTTTATTTTATTTTAAAATATCTTATTAGGGGAATACACTGACTTGTATGAATATTATATAATTTAATTGACATAGAATATTTTATATTATATTTTTGAATCTAAGAATTACTAATCTGGATATAATTTAGGAAATAGTTGATGTTTCTTTTATAATTATCCACCAATTTCTTAGAATTAAACATTATCTACAGATTTGCATCGAAGCGTTTCTTATGATAGTGATTTTAATCACTGTCAGATTAAATCTATACTGGACCCAACTATGTCATGTCCCCATTGTGCCACCATCCCACTGTGCTGGGTTTTTTTTAATTTATAGTATGTAACATAAACTATAATTTAACATATGTTTAAAAGACGCAGTATTTTCAAAACTTAAGTTGAAAACATTGAATTTGTGAAAAAGTTTCTATTTTGAATCTTCCCTATTTTGGTATGTTCGTTTTTCAAAAAATTATTGCAGTTTAAACAAAAAAAATGTCAACATTTACAGATTTTAAAAACTGTAATATCTCCAACTAGATACAATTTGACCTATTGTTGAATATAATTACTAAACGTACCTGCTGCTGAATCATTTTCACTTTCTGATAATAATTGGTGGTTATCTTTTTCTTCAGCCACCATACCTGCCATTAAAAGTAATTCTGCTTCAAAAGGATCACTTGGTATTTCTTCTTGAATTTTCTGTAAATAAAAAATTATGTGAAAGTTAGATAAAAAAATCTTAATCAAAATATTTAGTATGCTTTATATTTACCTTTATATCTTTTGAAATTCGTTTTAAAGTATTTTTTGGAGTTGGAATAAATATGGGAATTGGTAAAGGTATAGGAAAAGGAACTGGTACAGGATATGGTGTAGTAAACATGTGCATTGGCATTGGAATATAAACAGGTACTGGAATTGGAATAATAACACCTTTATTGCCAGTTAAATCTAAAAAAAGTTAGAAATAAGTATCATTACATACATATCATACTTGGTTATTAATTTTAGAAATAAGTTTATTTAAAATTAATATATTAAATCTTTTAAGCAATCTAGAGAATAAAATACAATAATACAATGTCATTTTACCAGTTTGAATTTCTTTATGAACCATCAATTTATCAGCATCAGTTATTTCATCATAAATTATTTTTTTACAAGTTTTCCTTTTTCCTTTTGAGAATTTTGACTGTATTTTATAAAAGTAAATATTAATGAAATATAAAAAAATTAACTGTACAAGTACATGGATTATTTACATTTGTCTTATGGCTTTCTTCCTTACGATTATATTTGCGCGTAGACCCTCTAGCACTTGAAATACATTTGTCAGTTGCTATAAATAAAAAAATTTACTGAACATAAAACAAATTAATGACATTATTTAATAAATAACTTACAACTTTTGGATTTCACTTTTTGCATTTGCTTTTTATTTATTTGTAATTGTTGTAAGTAATTCTGACTATAAAAATAAAAATAAAATTATAAGTATTATTAGTAATTTTGTTATTATTTATTAACTAAAAACTGCAAAATAATTAATAAAATTAATAATCACCAACATAAACTTCATTTCAATAAAAATTTGTTTATATATATAAATTACTTTACACAATTATTATATACTACAATGTTATTATTAATTTATTTAAAGTATTAAAAGTTTATTAAAGTAAAGAAAATACAATAAAGTGTATATTTTTTTTAATTATCGCTTACTTAGAAATTTTTTTATGAGATAATTCAGGAAGTTGATGGAGACAATATAATGAACATAGATATATTACTATATCGTTTGAATGTGGGTTTCTTGCAGAAATCATATCAAAATTGAACTTTTTATGCTAAAAATAAATATTATAATGAAATATAATATCATTAATGAATATTAATTACAAATAAGATTTATTTTCTATATAAAATTAATCTTAAACTTAAATCTTAAAAAATTTATTTTACAATTCATTAAAATATTTGTCACCTTTAAATAAGTGTCAAATTTCTAAAATTAATTTTAATATCTTTTAAATTCTTTCTAAGTAGTTATACAATTATTCAATATAATTTAGTCTAGTTTATAGTTTACTATAAAAAATTTGACATTAAATATTTTAACTAAAAATATATTAAACAATAAAAAAATTCATTGAAATTTCTTACTTTACATAAGTTACATGAAACAACTTTCTTTTTTGTAGCTATACATTTATTTAAACATTCCTTAGAACAGTATTGTATAACAAAATTTGAATCATCAATAATTTGCATAGTATTAGAACTATCTAATATATAGGAACAAATATTACACCTATCTAAAAACAATCATATACATTATTAAGTTATTATAGAATTTGAAAAATGTAATGAGTAAGTCAAATATCTAACCAGCAATAAAATTACTATCATTTTTTCCAACATAACTATTATTGAAAAAACATTTTTTTTTTCTAGATTCATAATCTTTAGTTTGGCAAAATGACGAGCAAAAATCCTGAGAAAATGAAATATAAATAGTAAAATTAAAAAAATAAATAAACAAGAATTTTAAATTATTTTGTTTGATTTTTATAAGCCATTTAAGCTCATTTCTGCTTCCACAATTCCTCTCATCGTGTAGCTTACTCTTTTCCAATGTGCAAACCATGCACAATATATTTTAATTATTTTACATTCAGAAATATTTAATGAATTTTATTTTGAAAATATATAATAATAAAAAATTGTATTTTTTGGGGAGTGATTTAATAAAAAAATTATCTTAAAAGCTCAAATAACTGATAAGAATGTATAAAATGTTATATGACAAAAAATTATTTTTTAAATCCTTTCCATAACATACAATTTTATTTATAAATTTATTACTCATTAATATTTAGTTAAATTTAAAAAAGTTAACGAGTTAACAGATAATTCATTATTTTTTCTATTAGATACATATTTAAAAGGTAAAGTATTAATTAATAATAATTAATTAGTGCTAAAATTAAATTGAGTTAAAAATTAACATTACTTTTGATTCAATTCCAAGCAATTTTTTCTGGCAAAAAGAACATAATTTTAACTTTTCTTCATAATTTTCTAAGCATATAACACCACAAAACTGTAATATTTTTCCACTTATGTTACGGCAATGTTTTCCAAAATCAGTATCTGATGATATGACTTCATGGCAATTACCACAATTGTTTTCAAAAATTAATGTTTGATATTGATCTAATATTAAATAATTCTTCTTATAAGAATATAATATTTAAATTTAATAGTTACAAAATTAGCTTTAACTCATATTATCTAAAAATAATACATACTAAGGCAAATTACAGAACAAAAGTTTTTAGTTTGCCAATTGAAGTAATTATATGAGCTCTCAACAATATCATTTTGACATTGTTCACATTTCTTTACTAATGGTAATTGATTAATTCTATTTTGATAATTAGTCACACATTCTTCTTGACATAAATACATAGATTTAAGACTTTTTATAGTGAAATTACACAGACGAAACTAAAAATTACAATTTATAACATAAAAAATTAGGAATATCATTAAAAAAAAAAAAGTACAAATTTATTACACCTTTTTTTGTGATGATTTCTTCAGTACAAATAAATCAGTTTTAAAATGATTATTTATGATGTTACTTTTATAAACAATAAGGATTATTATTTTATTATGAAATATGATAATAAAAACCAATATATTGGTAAGGCAATCCAGGCCTTCATTTATGTGCCAATGGTCTCTTTAGTACTAAGGTAAACCAATTTTTTTTTATAAAAAAAAAAAGACACTTGTTTAACGACTCACCTAGGTGTCTAATATATTTCATACTGATTATAATCAGTATTATAATTATCATATGTTCATAATAGTTAGTTACAAGCAAATATATAATTTCTTTTCTCAGGTTAGATTAATGTCACTCGTTCTTCATCATTCATAAATGCATTGATTTTAGAAATATAAATAAAACAAAGTTGCAAAAGAAATTTTTGGATTTTTGAAAATATATCATTATTAACAATATAAAACCACACAAAAGAAACTTTTAAATCAATGGAAGGATTTAAAAATATAAAATTTCTAATGATTTTGTGACATTATAATTACGGAGCCTCATTTAGTCAGCTTATGTGCTCATTCTCTGATAAGGGTCCAAAATAATAAATCAAAATATTTCCTAGTAAGCCATGTCATAGTTTTGTCTATATGCATTATATTGAAATAAATAACTATTTAAAAACTGGACTTACTATTTCAAATTTTTTATTGATAATAATTTTAAAAAATGACTTTACCGACAACATTTTTTTTTTTTTTTAATTATTAACCAAGATACTGTTGGGGTTTAAAGATCATATCAAAATTTTTTACTTTTCAATTTTTGACAATGTTCCAATACACCCGAACTCTTTAAATCTACATTGAATTAAAGCTAATACGATTTACTCAAAAATGAAAAAAGAAAAATTGTACTAAATATTATTTATAAGAGCTTTAAGGCATAAAAACCCAAAATCATACAATTTTCTATGAAAATGACTCATTTTAAATTGTTGTTTAACATAACATTAGAATATTAAAATAATTCAAAACTATATCAAATTTAAGATTTTTGTTATATTACACAAATTAAAAAAGATATAAGACTCGTATTACATAAACAATCAGCCTCTAAAGTTTAGAACCATGTAATTTTTTATCGATATGATAATATATATAATATATGGATCAAAATATAATTTTCAGTGGTAATATTTAATACCTTGCTTTCTGAACACTTTTTTTGAAAATTCTATAATTTACCAAAGTACTGTGAGGGACATAATCATAATATACATTTTTTTCTTTTTAATTATTTATAATATTAAAAAAAATTGACTTCTTTATTTCTACATCAAATCAATCTAATAAGTTAAGCAAAATGAATAATTTTTACTTTTTTAAAGAAGTTGCTTTAACTAATTACAATTCAATATAAAATTAACTTCGATAGTAGACTTTAAAATTTGAATTAATTTTGCAATATTATTAATTATTAAAAAAAGTTTGTTAATAATACTTCATACTTATTTTTGCTTCTAAACTTAACCTATACAATTTTCCCAGACTTTCCCTAATAACTTATAGTCCACTAGATAATTTTTTCTATAATATTAAAGAAAGGCACAGACCCTTATAACCACCACTGTGCAGAGTATTTTTTAAGGTTCTAAAATGTGAACTTTTGTTTGCTTATTATCATATTTAATTCAAAGATTAAAATATTATTTAAAATGCTAATATAATATTAATTAGGTATTAAACTCAATTACTATAAACTGGATTTCATGGCAATGACTGGTGATGTAGCCTTATATTTATTTTATTGTTTATTTAATTAAAATAAAATTTAAATATTTTAAACATTAATTTTTTTTTTTTTTATGTATTATAAATTGAGGTAAATAGTTTATCATCAATATTTAAAATAAAAACCATGCTTGCACATTTCTAGATTTTTTTAAACAATTGTAATTATCAAAATACTACTATAGATGTATAAATGATTTAATATAGAGTTTGTAAACATTTTTTTGGGGGGCTAAATTTAATATTTCCCTTTCAAAAATAATTTTTTTTATAACAATGAATTTAATTTTACTCCGTTTTTGGACAGCTAAACCCCCTTAAGCCCCTCCATATTAAGCTCATGGATACAGTCCTAACAAGATATAATTTGTATTGTTTAAATTAAATACGTATATTTATATTTAGTTAGTCATATTTTTTAGGTTTAATAACATATTACATGAAATTCATTCCAAACTAACCTGAAATTAATCGTTTTATATACTGCTACATAATGTTATAAAATAATGCCATTTTAAAAAAGAATGACTTTCAACTCTATAATTTATATTGCTTTACATTACAGTGTTATTCGGGGTCGTGCATTATGTGTATCTTAATAATTTTGAAAAACCTGTAGCTTTTTCTTTATGAATAATTTTTGAAAGTAAGTGTAAGTTTCCACAAATAGAAAAAAAGGTATATTTATTACTTAATACTATTTGTGATACATTTTATCAAATTAAATACTTACATGATTATACAATTTATATGTATAGTCAAAATATCCAAGATACGCCATTAATTATACTTAATCATAACTCTTTATAATGGAAAACAAAGATAAAAAATGAAATGAAATAATAATTACCCTATTACATTGGCAGCAAACTTTTTTAAGCGGAGAAGATAACCCTTCTATTATTTCTATAACTTTTTCTTCAACACGGTCAAGAGGTTTTATTATTTCTTTAGCTATTTCCTATGAAATAAAATGTATAATTAATTTATTCAATACAAATCATATAAAACACTAAGTATTTTACTCTAATTTGGCTCTCTGCTTTTTTAGCAGCTTGTCGCTGAGGTCTAGTAGTTGTTTTTGTTAAAAACTCTGAAGTTATATCAGCACTTAAAACCTCCATATTATCAAGCTCATTTTTTTGGTTATTTTTAATTGGTTTGTTATTTATTAAATTGAACTTTTCATCTTTTTCATTTACACTTGATTTTTCATTAAGAACATCAGAGATATTTTCTTCAAAATTCTCTGAAAATTAAAATTAAATTTTTTGTTTTATTAAATTCAGAAAATATTAATTTTCTAGCTTTACTATTTGTTTCTTTATCAAGAACATTACTCTCACTACTTTGAGTTTTTTTGTCTTCAAGATTTAAAAGAGACACATGGTTATTTTCATCAAAATTTTTCTGTTTTGTTATAGACGATATCAATTGATTTTGGTCATCAATAACCAATTGGGTAACATTATTTCCATTAATTGGGTTTTCTACTTCTTTGGTAAATTCAATTTTAAAATCCTTTGTTGAATTACCAACATTTTCGTTGCAAATTTCATTACGTGTAGCTGGACTTTTAATAAGACAATTGTTTGAGTTGGTTTCTTTTGGTATTGAATGATTATCATTATAGTTAACATCACTGATTTCAATACAGGGAGTTAACGAATTTGTAGTCATAATATAAATATTTTCATTTTCAGACATTATTTAGACGTATATAATAGTAAAATATTATGTTCATATACCAAATGTAACAACTTGAAATTTTATTTAGTAGGCATGATAAGCAACATATTTATTTACACACACTTATCGATAAATCGTATTAATCTTCACTTCTAGTGTTACAACAAAGCTTTACATAAATTCAAAATTTTCAAATTACCAACATATTCTTGTGGATACATCTTCAAAAAAACCTTATCTTTTATCATATTTTCTTGGAAAAATTAAGTCTAATGGATATTATAATCCTGATATATATTATGAATTTTTATATACATTTTTAGGTTATAAATCATAAAAAAAAATATAATATTTAAAAATTATTTAAATAATATAATTTAGTATGAGTTCAACTTTGTACAGCAAATACATAAAGTGATAGTATTTTCTAGGTTTTCGGAGTTTGATAAATCCTTGAATAAATTATTCTTACTTACGTCTATAATTTTTATAACAAACTATAAATTATGGAAAAAGATAACTCAAAACAAGATTCCAATCCCAGAATACCATCTGCTATTTTTGTGGTTTGTTATTTACATTTCAAAATTATAAACAAGGCCGCGACCATGGGTGTACGTACCCTAGCTGATGATTTTAAAAACCACTGAAATATGAAACCAAATAAATTATATAGTTGAAGACACTTTTTTTATTAAAGAAACTGAAATACTGAAAAAATTGGGGAACAACTTTTTTGTTGATTATTAACTCAATTATATCTTTTGAGTGCTGGCTGCTCCATAATTCATAATGATTGCCTATAGTACTTTTTATTATATTTCATTTAATTTTGTTTTCAACTTATAACATGAATGTCTCTTGTAAATGATTTTATTACACTTTTGTTTTCTTTCCTGTTATTTCTTTTGTTGTAAACGTATATATTTGCAATATTTACTGTCATTTCACATAATAATTGTTGAGCCATAATATTTTTAAATAAAGGCTAAAAAAAAACTTTTTTGTTAAACAAAATGAAAATTTTATTGGGGCAGCGAAATTTTGTACACAATGTCTAAATGCGGCCTTAATTATAACTTTATAATATCCTGTCCAGTTTTTCATGAAAAGAAAAATTTAGTATATTAATATGCACAATGAATAATGCAGTAACTCACTTTTGTAACTGATTACAACCTATATATTTATCAATTTTTGAAGTAGTTTAATTCTGATTCAAACCAAATATTTGGTATTTTAATGAAAGTTATTACAAGAAGAGTAAAACTTAAATCTAAATACTTCATAATCTCAAAGTTTAGTTTTTTGAGTTACTGCCTTTTTGTTGTGCATGGTGATATCATTACGTAATAAGCTTATAATATCATCAAAGTCTATTAAACTACAATATATACAAGGTGATTCTTTTAAAGCTAGCCATTCAATTTAATATATAATAAGTTATATATTTTAAAAAATTATTATTATAATAACTTATAATAAGTTTTTAAAAAAAATTATGTTTGGATTTTGTTAATTACATATTAATCTCCATTCATCCGTTGTAAAGTAATTTTTATGTCAATCAACATGCAGACACAAGTCTGTATATTTCATAACTAACCTCGTACTTTCAACATGCATATTAAACTAGTTTAGAAAATAGAAAATTACTAATCAATAACAACTTTTGAATCAGTGCTTTGGAAGATATTTACATTTTTGTATCTATTTAAAAGGTGTGCATCAAAGAAATTACTAATAAAAATAACATCATCCACGCTTAACCTTCAGTTTATATTTAAAAATACCAATATCTTCTAAAGTATTGGTCCAAAGTTGTTATCAACTACTTATTTTCTTAATTAGATAATTTTTTATTATATAAGCTTGTTTAATACAAAAATTTCTATTTAAAGAAATAAAGTTAACACCTCTATAATAAAGGATGGATCTAAAAATTTTTTTTTAAAGAAATGAGTAGCTAGCAGTGAATGAATTGACCTGTGTTTACTTTAATGTAGTATAGATTTTGAAAGTGTTAACTGATTAATTTTTTTTTGATATTTAAAATTACTGAAAAGTAATCAATATAAATGTTAATTAACATTAATCTACTTTTTATAGGATGATGTTGATAAGTTTATGGAAAAATCTGAAAATAGTAGTGTTGAAGAAGTTCTCAAACGTTTGGATGAACAACACAGCAAATACAAGTTTTTTGAGTACAACTTGATTACTAAAAGAAAAAGGTAAAATTTTAAATGAGCTAATACTATTAATAGATAGAAACTACTCTACTCTAATTTTTTATTGAAGTCTAGTTAAAATAGTTTTATTATTATAACTTTTTTTTTAAAGCTTTCAATTTTTTTAATATTTAGTTTAACAAGGTATAGATAATGGCAATTAAAAAGTTAACATTCTTCTACATAAAACAAAAATAGAATTAGCAATATTATTTAATTAAAAATTCAGGGTACCTTGGATAAGAAATATTTGAGAGTGTAATAGGAATAAATCAAGTATTTAAAGTATACTATGGTAATCAAGAAATTTAAAAAAAAGGAAACCTATTATTATTTAAAACAGAACAATCAAGAAGATGACGATAATCACAAAGTTTTTTATTATCCTGCAAGGGCAAAAAGGACTAGAATTTAGTAACAAGTGGTAAAAGGTTTTGCCCAAGTTTAAATCCAAATAGATTATCATGTAACTAGATAAAATAAATTATAAAACCAGAGAATAGGAAGTATTCAACAACAACAAAAAAATTTTAATAATACATTTTTTTTTTTTTAATTCATCATAACATACTACTTTATTTAACATTAGATTCTATAAAACATATTGTAAAATTTTGATTTTTCAACTTTTAAAATTTTTTATTTCTAAAGCTCCTTAATTTTTTTCAATGTTATTTTTAAAATCTAATTAAACATTATAAATCTATGCTGCAAAAATATATTCATGCAAATTCTATTTTTATTTTTTTCAAATATTGTTGTTTTATCTGCAAATTCTAAATTAAATGTTGTTTTTGTATATGCATTAGGAAATACTTAGGAGCTTACCAAAAAATAACCAAGGGCTGTAATTTTATAATTTTTTAATCTGTTAAAATATTTATACTTAAGTTATTTAATATTTTGTATCATTTTAAATATTGATCTCTGGTGTTTATGAATAGAAATTTTATCATTTATATGTGACCATTTACATATTAAAGATAATGATATTAAGTTACCGGTATTTCACTTTTATCACAATATATTATTAGTTACGTTACAAATCCTTGCAAGTCATATTCCTAACAATTATTCAGTGTTGAGAAGGAACTGGTTCCAAAAGGAACGGATTCCTGGAACGAGTTCTTTTTGAAGGAACGATGCTAGGAACTGCTTCCTTTTAAAATAAAGGAACGAGGAAAATGAACAAATTCCATTTTTTAAGGAACGTGAACGGAAATTACAGTTCCTAAAAATTTTTATAAACATGTTTTAGTGTAGTTTTCTTCGTATCTAGACATTAAAATATTATGGTATTTTTAGTTGACTTATGACAATGGAAGTCCCCTATATACCCAGCCGAGATCGTAGGCTGTTTAAATGAATCAATTGACTATAAATAGAGTTATTATCACATGTAGGTATACAGTAAATATTTAATATATGTTTACATATATTAAATAATGCACTAAATATTATCATCGATTCTTGTTAACTAATATATGTTAAAGGTTTTGGGATTTCTGATTTATTATTTCTAACTTATATGTAGACAATAGACATTGGTCGCGTTGACACAAGTCGTTAGCATTTACTACCTGCTTATAAATATAATTTTCGAATACTTTTAAATAAGGAATACTACAAATTTGTTTTGTATTCGACTGCTGATGAAAATCATTGATGACCGTTATCATGATCTCATTACCACAATTTTTTAAATAACTTGGTTACATAAAAGGAACGAAGAGTGGAACGAGTTCTTATTTTGGAGGAACTGGATCTGAAACAAGTTCCTTCTTAATATAAAGAACTAGGATCTGGAACGAGTTCATATTTTAGAAAATGAACGGGGAACGGAACGAATTCCATTTAAAAAGGAACTTTCCCAACACTGCAATTATTATATTATAATATGTAAACATTACTTTTTTTCTGCATATTAGTATCACTAATAAATTTCATATAATAAATAGAAAGTTCATTTTCAATGTAACTTTATTATGTTAATGCTCATAAACTTAACCTTGTTTCTACATTAATACTAAACTAAGGAGTTTTTCGATTCTCTTGTAAAATTGGTAAAATGTGACTTAAAAGATTTTGCTATGTAGCCAAAGATATTTTAAACTTATATTTTATAACTTCTCTATAATAATCTTAAATTTGTATTTTACTTATAATTCTAATTTATCTAACTTTTAAAATATATAATTATATTTGAGTTATTAATTCTTATGTTCATTATACATTGCTAGGCTATTCTAAAAAAAAATTTTTTTTTGAAAATATTTAATATATTAAATACGATTTGATATTCTAATAAATTATGTCAGAATAAACCACAGAAAGTGGTATAGTTATGAGGAATAGGAATTGACCCTCTGTAGAACAAAATCATTTACATGGTAAAGATACATTTCTTTTTCATTTGAGAGGATAAGTAAAAAGTGTTCATATGTATATCCCCCCTCCACTAGAACAGAACCATAACAATTATTTATATTTATAATATATAATTTTACAATTTAATGTTTTTTATATATCTTTTGATGTTATATAGCTTATAAAAAATATCTATAATAAAAAATATGATTTTTTTTTTTTAATATAGGTTACAATTACAACTTCCTGATTTAGAAAATACATTAGGAATGATTAAAACTATGAAACTGCATAAAGGACAACAATTGAAAACAGATTTTTTACTATCTGATGATGTATATACTAAAGCACATATACAGGCTACTGATAATGTTTATCTTTGGCTTGGTGTAAGTATTAGAATTATTTTTTAAAATTTTAATCACACTATTATGATTTATATTAAAAATATAATTTTTTCTTATGAATTAGTGTTTACTTATTTTTAAATAGTTGATTAAATGAAAACTATATGAACATATTATTTTATTAAACAAATTATTGTAAAATATTTTAATACAAAAAAATTTCTTTGTAAAATTAATTTTTATTTTAGTTAAAACAAAGAATAGTGTACAATTTACAATTTTTTACAATTTATTATTTTATTGTACAATTTATTATTTTTTCTACAATTTAATAAAACTATTATTTTAAATACATTTTCAATAGGCAAATGTTATGCTAGAGTACAATCTAAATGATGCTACTGAACTAATTTCAAGAAACATACAACTAGCCACAGACAATATGAAACAAGTTGATGATGATCTTGATTTTCTTAGGTATAAATGTTTTTCAATTTACCAAATTTTATAATAAGTAAATAAATACTATGTAATCTTGGTCTTCCTCTATGATTTTTTCCATCGATTACTTCCAAGATTAGTTCTAGCAACCCTTTGATTTTTAAAGTATAACCTAATAATTAATTTCATCTTTGTACTTTTCCATATCAATTTCCTCTCAGATACCCTTTCCAAAACTTCTTCATTATTAAATCTATCATTCCCTCTAATCTTTTCTATCCTTCTATAGTACCACATTAAAATGTTTATGACTATTTAATATAATCATAGAATATATTTCTAATTTATTAAAATATATTTCACTAATTTCTAATTATTTAATTTTGTATTTGACTATAGTGTAATATTTAATTTTTGATATTGTAGTATATCACTAATATTGATTTTTCAATAGAATATTGAACCCTATTTAACATAACTTAAAATTATTTCTCAAATTTTTCAAGTGTCTAATAAATATATATGTTTCTTAATAATAATAATTATTATTATTATATTCAAATTTTATGTGAATATTAAACGTTCTAATTGTAATAACTTTATTTTAAGTAAATTTAACTAATCGTCATTGATTTGAAAATAACACGTTTATTATTATTTTAAATTAAATTTACAAAAAAACATTTGTGATGTTAGTAAACATTTCACATTTTATAAAATATCCCATAATAAAAATATATATAAATAAGTACATATATTAATATTTAAAAAGTTTTAATTAGTTTTTAATATCACCTGAAATTTTTATCAAATGTCAGATACAAGAAGATATTGTCAAATCAGTGATGTAATATTATTATTTTTTTTGAAAAAATAATGGATTATTTTTAGTATATAAATAATATACCTAATTTACATTAATTTGAATTAGTTGGATTAGATATTATTTAATCCTTAGAAATTATAAGTCATACTTTTTGAATACATTAGACTGCTGTAAAAAGTGTAAAGAGCACATAATTGCTTAATATTAATTACCCATAATTAATATTAACACAATTTTTTTACATATTTTTATGTATAATTCTTAACCTTCTTAATAAATTCTTTATTAATAAATATTAATTGAGAAATCAAATAAAATGATTCATTTTACTAATAATATTTATCTATTTATTATAGAGATCAATTTACTACTACAGAAGTTAATATGGCCCGTGTTTATAACTGGGATGTGAAAAAAAGGCAAGCTGCCAAAATTAAACAATAAGCAAAAATAATTTTTGTGATAACCAAAAATAATAAAGTAACCTTATTTTCTAGCAGTTGTAATATTAATATTAATACAAACTTTTAATGTGATTAACACATGATTTTTTAAAAATTTGTTGATTAAAAATTATTTAATAACTATTTTCTTATCTTTTGTAATTATATATTCTGTTAATATTAACTAAAGCAAAACATTTTTTGTCCTAATTGGCTGAAAAAACCAGCCTAGCCATGTACTGACTTAAATGATTAGTATAATCTTAACAAAATTATGTTATCGCATAGTCTGAGGCACAGTAGACTATATAGGTAAAGCTGGACCAAAGTTAAAACTAACCCTAAGTTTTTTATTTAATAAATAAAAAATATCTAATTTTTTTTACTTTCCGAAAGAAATATTTCTTTGAAAGCATTTAATTAAATTAAACTCATAAATGAACCTCTAGAATTATTATATTTTCAACAATACAATAATATGTACAAAATTGTAATTTATTAGATTGAAATAATATAATAAAATTAAATACGTAATAAAAAAAGAACAAAGAATCTACATGCTTTTCAAAGTAAATGAGTAATAGTTTGAACAATTTCATCTAGTGAATAATCTTCAGTTAATGTAAGTTTGTTCAGAGGTAATATCAAAGATTTAAGCATTTTCCTATTTGGTAAGTCTAACTTTGATATAATATGTCCAATTTGCTGTGCTATTGATGTAGATACTTCAGTTTTAATCATCCTTAAACAAAAAATGATAATGAATTAAACTAAAACAATTATTAACATTTTGTTTAGTAAATTCCTTATACGAGTTAGATATTCACTTCATACCTTGTAGATAACCAGATAAGTTTTACATATCTTAAAATGTTATAACCCTTCATTATGTTTTCTTATTGTGCGTTTTTTAATACTTAGGTAAATCCAAATAGGTTTAAACAAATTATACAATTTTAAAAAGCTATAATTATATATTATCAATAAATTCTTCCTATCAAGAGATGATATAGTTAGTAATTAGAAAGTAGCACACAGTATTATATGCATTTATAAATTTTGTTTAAATCACTTTGAAAGATCTCAAGTTATAAGATTATACAACAGCATAAAAATATTTTTTGTTTTAAGGGGATAAACTTCCTAATTCCTACCAAGTATATAACATTGATAACAACATTACTAGGTTCTAAAGTAAATTAATAAATATATTAATGATGGTGTTTTTGAAATAATTTAACAAAATTTAAAAAGGCAAAATTCCACACCTTATTTATAAGTTAGAAGACTAAATATAATAAAATAAAAAAAATATATCTGTTGGTGATCAATCAATATATAACTTTAAGTTATTTATTTTAACTATTTTATTTTATATATGTGAGTTGCTTATATAATGTATACATGTATGCTTGAACTAACTATATTAGACCAGTGGTTCTAAACTATCCAAGTACCATTAATACATTTTTAACATTTTAAATTACCACTTGACTTAATCAACGGTATGCATAGGAGAATAGGAATACAACCTTCTAAAACAAAATACTGTTTAAATAGAAAATTAATTTTTTTCTAACACTGAATTTCCTTATTAACACATTTTTTGTATAACATTAATTCTAGTAATTTTTTTAAATATAGTACTCTCTAGTGATTTAACAAAAGTAATTTGGAAGTATAAGGTTATGCAAATATTTGGCTTAACAAATAAACCAAATATTTAATATTAGTAATAATCACAATATTTTGTGTACTACAGATTGAGAAATACTGTCCTAGATAGTTACCTTTCTTCAACAGTCTTCTCAGAGAAACCAGCAACTCTTTCACATAGTGAAACTACATGAGATATCAATTTATCAGCAGACATTGAGTTCAAATTTTCATTTAATTTTAGATATTCTAAAATTGTTAAGCTGTCTTGCATTGGTGTTGGAACAATACCTTCCACTTTACAACCATCAATCAACCAGTTTAATAAATGTTTTAACTTTGGTTTACCATCTAGAATTGCCAATAATTGCTTGAAGAGTAAATAAAAAAAGTATAAAAAAAATATGCATACCTCTTTGGAGTATGTAATAAGATAAAAGATTGCCAACAAGCACATCATTTGCTTCTTGCCAACATTCAGCTTTTAAATAACAAGTAACTGCTTCATGATACCTAAAAAAAAATTTAATGGTAATGACAATTCACAGAATTAGCTAACAAACTAAGTATTATTTCAGATATGTATTAACTACAGGGTGATCCATTTAACATTGACCAGCAAATATCTCAAAAACTATTTATTATTTTAATAATTTTTTTTTTAGTTTATTTTTTTTAGTTTTATGTAACTAAAATAATTAAAAAAAAAAATTATTAAAATAATAAATAGTTTTTGAGATATTTGCTGGTCAATGTTAAATGGATCACCCTGTATAATAAATTCAAAATATAAAATTTACATTTTTTGGGATTCTGTTAATATTGCTTTTGCATAATAAATAATAGTTTCTTTAACATGTAGCTTTGAAACTATAAATGCTTCTTTATCATTAAGTTCAATTGTGTTCTCAACATTTCTACCAATCATATCTTCAATTAAATTTTCCCTTCTAAAATGCAATTACTCCACTAATAATTGATTTAAAAATATTCTTTGTACTATACAAATTTTACTTACAATTCATTGTCCTTAATATGCAAAAGAACAAATATTGCCCAATGCCATAATCCATGAGATGATAATTGTGAAGCAAAGTTAATATGCAATTGATTACAATAAGGTTCATACATTTGTGTATAACCAAGTGATTGTAGAGTGTTAAACAACAACCAACTAAAGTTATAATCTAATGGATCACGTGTATGTGTGAGTGGATTTACAATTTCATAAATATCATAAGTTGAATTAGTGTATAATTTCATTAAATGGAAGCAAACATCAAATGTGGAAAATATATCATCAGGTGATTCATGATTTAAATAATTTTTGCTAAATGGCATACATGCATATGAATCATCACCATCAAATGCATTTTGGTAAGCATTCAATGCGTCCTCAATAGTACCAGATGGTGGTTGAATATACCTGAGAAAAACAGGAGTCATCAAAAGTTGATGAAAGTATAAATTATAAATAATTTTTTTTTTATTTGATTTATAAATAATTATTTTGTTAAAATTAATAATTATATTTAAAGACTAAATATTTATAGTAAATTTGGTAATTAAATAGTATTTATAACACAGCCTATCCTATTTAAGTCTACTTATTGAAACAGTCATTACAATTCAATAATTAATGTTATTAAATAGTATATATCTAGTTTATTATCTTTTGGTTATCATTGTTATTGTTATTGTCAACTTTTGTTGACTTTTAAGGTTATAAGTTTTTTTTGTCGTTAATAAAATACATGAGCTTGTAGCTTGTGTCTTCTGTTCTTTATTAAAAACATGTGTATTAAATAATCTTAAATAAAGGTATTTTCTTCTTTATTACGAGTTCAATATACTAAGTTTAAATAGATATATAGACAACTCTAATCCTTGAATTTTAAGTAAAATTAATTTCTTTATAAGATCTAAAAATATACCATAAATGCAAAGCAAATGCTCTGACCCAATCCATATTTTCACATATATTGATAATTCCTTTACTTGAGTCATATAATGGCTGTCCTGCTACCATAGTATACAATTTCAGATGGTCATTGTCAATGAATAAATCAGCTTTACTATTAGACCACTGCCAAAGTTGTCTCTGAATACAACATCTAACAGAATTTTCACTTCCTAATTGAGCCAACAACATAGCCAAATTACAATCATCTGTTAAACAATAGAGTACATTATATATGCCTAATTTTATGAAATATTATTTCATACTGTCAGATATAGCTAAATCACAAGCTTCCATAATTTTATGTGCAGAAACTAATTTCAAAATCTTTTGAGATGTATTATCATCAGAATTTTTAAAATCAATAGTTTTTTCTAAAAGAGCTTCTAGCCAATCAGAAATTGCCTGACGCCTTGCCATATTATATAAATGCTCTTGAGGACAATCTTTGGTAAATAAATTTTCTGGATCTCCCCAAAGTGCTTTAATTAATTCCCAAACATGAGAATAAAGAGTTTCTTCGGGCAATTCCGAAAAATGAGCTAATAAACAACAATGAGAATGTAGTCCATCAACACCTGATTTTGGATAAAAAAAGGGGGTAGAATTTTCAGTGTCAAAATTGCTATGCTCCATACAAATTTGTAAATGCTCTGTCAAAAGCTCCTAAAAACCAATTCATATTTTGAAAATTATAAAAAAAAAAGTATTAAAGAATTTTTTGTTTCATTTAGACATACATACATATTGATTAAAATAATTATTTACATTTACAAATTTAAACTTACTAAGAAAGTTTCTGTTTGAGTTGGAGTCATAATTTTTATTTTTTGAATAATAGTAGAAGAATAATCATCATTTACACGACCAGATAAATCTGTAGATAAACAGCTAATATCTAATTTTTTTGATTGTAAAAAATTTTGCTTAGATTTTGTATTAATGGTAACAAATGTTAAGTTATTTGACCAAGGCACTTTGAAAAAAACAGATTTCAATAATGCTAATTTATTTGATTTGTGTATATTTTTAAACTCTTCTTCAAATGGAATTCGAACACTAGCATCATATTTTAAACTATAACGTTTTGCTTGTAACTATTAAAAAAAAAAAACTATTAATATATAAGTTAAAAATTAATAAAAAGAAAAATACATCCATAATTAAAGTTTTTTCAGTCAACATATATAATTAATAGGATTCTCAAACAATATATTTTTAAATATCATTACTATTGAATTTTCAGTAATATTTTTTCACAATATTGCAAGAAAAATACATCCAAGTATCACAATACAAGTGCTTAATAATTTTGCAGAAATTTTAGATATTTCTAGCCCGTGAACCACCACTTATAGGTCATATAATTTCTGACAATAGTAGCTAAGAAATGTCTAAATAAGATATTATAAAAAAGAGAGATTTCTCCATTAAATCCATCCAATTATTATATTATTACTTGTGAATTATATTTATTTATTTATAACATAACAGGCTAATATCCTAAGGTAAAACACAAAATTGTTAGTATAATTATAACATTGGCAAGTTATTTACACATTATAGAACCGACACTATAAATTTATTTATTGTGGGTAAATAAATTTAATAATATAAATAAAAAAAAATCAGGCAACACTTAAATCAATAAATTATAATCATTATTATTAATTCATTGATTCTTAAATAATTTTTTTTATAATGTAATATACATTTAAATGTTGAAAAGCTAAAAAACCTCCACAACATCAATAGTTAAAAAAAATAATAACAGAATAACTAATAACAAATATTGTTTTATTTTCAATTTTTTTAAGAATTCTATATAAAATTTCAATGTTGATTCTGAATCTAGCTTTGGATATTTTTATTACACTCATTTTTGAGATAATTACTAATTAATGATTACTATAAATGAAAATAATTAACATAAAAAAATATAAATACTTTTTTAAATTTCCTAAGATTATTTCATGTTTTTTAATAACAGTTGTAGCAAAACTGTTCCTGTAATTTTTTGATCTATAAAGTTCAATTTGAGTGTTATTTAAATAAAATTTAATTTACGAGTATAATTTTTTTGTTTTATTTACAATTATGAAATTTTAACTAACATTGTTCATTTTAAATAAATATAAAGCGAAAAAAATGTTGTCGATAAAAAAAAACAATGTGTATTATGCGCAGATGAAGTGAAACTTTTTACAGTCATTCAACTGATAGAATATTAAGTTTATATTAGAACAAAGGAAATAAATACACTTATAAACTTTATTTACAATTTAGATTTATTAAAAATTTTCTTATTTAATTCTATAAAGAAGTTTCGCTTCAAAAATACAAAGAAAATCTCTTAAATTCGCAACAAATACTGTTTTTTTGTATATTTTTCCAATATGGATTTATTTAAAATAAAATAACATAGTAATATAACACCATGTTATACATGTTTTAAAGTCTAATACGATTGTGTGCTTAGATTTTACATATAACAATTGTAAAATTTATAAATAATTAATGAAATTAATTTAACAGTTAACATTTTTTAAATCCTTATAGAAATATCTATTTATCAGTTTAAGTTTTATAATTAAAAGTTTAACTAAAAAAAATTATAATTGAAATTTCAACTTTTTTGTTTTAAATGACACTTAAACTTAAAATATTCTTAAAAAAAACCTCAAACTCGAACTTTAAGGATCAAAAAATCGGTTGATGTAACAGTTCCAAATTTAGTGCAACTCTTATTAAATCATTTTAGGGTAGTTAAAAAAAAAATTATTTTTTGATAATTTTAATGCGTAAATATTACATTATTACTAATAAGTAATTATATAAAAACCTAGATATGATAGAAAAATATTAAAGCTAGATTCGGAATCAATGTTGAAATTCTAATGGGTTTATAACTTAATTTGTGATGAGATGGCGTAACCTAACTTGATAATTATCCCATCGTTCCAATATTCCGAAGATGCGTTGAAAAGCTACTGTCATAGTGCTTCTTTATCAGTATACATCATTCATTTGAAGCGTTAATAACAACAATTTATTTTCACTCAAATTTATGCCCGAATAATTGTTTTTGCGGAGAGTTCTTCGTCATTACTTAAATATGAGAAAACTGCTGCCGAAATTCATTGTATTTTGGTGAAAGTTTATGGTAAACATGCTCTAGCTGAGCGAATGGGTCAAAAGTGGTTTGCACAATTTAAAAATGATGATTTTAGCTTGGAAGATGAAGGACGTCCTGGGCAGCTAAAAAAGCTTGAAAATGAAGAACTGGAAGCATTACTCGATGAAGATTGTTGCCAAACACAAGAAGAGCTCGTAGAATCTTTTGGGAATCACTCAAGCAGTTATTTCAAAACGTTTAAAAATAATTGGAAACATTCAAAAGCAAGTAATTTGGGTGCCCAATTAATAGAAACCAAGAGACGTCAAAAGACGATTTTGCATGTCAGAAATGGTGCTTGAACGTTACAAAAGGAAGTCGTTTTTGCATCATATTGTGACTAGTAATTAAAAATGGATTTATTATGACAACTTCAAGTACAAAAAGTCTTATGTGAAACCTGGCCAACCAGCTAAATCAACGCAAAGTCGAATATCCATGGCGCTAGGGTAATGCTCTGTATTTGGTGGGAATAGAAGGGTATGCTGTTGTTTGAGCTATTGAAATCGGGCCAAACGATTACAGGGAACTTCTACTAAACAAAATTGGTTCACTTAAAGAGAAAAGTCGCCGAAAAACGCCCGGAATATGCGACTAGACACAAAACAATAATTTTCAATCATGACAACACTTGCAAGATGTTGCAAGACAGGTTAAAAACTATTTAGAAAACAGCGACTGGGAAGTTTTGACTCACCCACCTTATAGCTCAGACATTGCCCCTTCTGACTACCATTTGTTACGATCGATGCAGAAAACCCTGTTTTCTGGAAAACCCTTCACCAAAGTTGAAGATATCAAAAATTGGCTTGATTCATTCTTGGCTGCCAAGCCAGCGCAGTTCTTTTGGGATGGAATCCACAAATTTCCAGAAAGATAGGAAAAAGTTATAACTTTGGATAGACAATACTTTGAATAATATTATTGTACATGTTTTTCTTAAAAAACATTCAAATTTTGAAGAAAAAAAAAACTGCACAAATTAAGTTATAGACCCAATATATAAAAATGTAAACTCGAAAATGACTGTTATGTGTAATTTATTAATTAAAATGAATAAAAGCATCAACTCAAAACAATGGAAAATTAAAAAAACTCACTGGAGCCATTAAATTTAATTTTGGAGTATGAGTAGATTGTCCAATTTTTCGTTCTAAAAAAAAAAAAAAATATTTAAATAATTTATTATATACATTTTTAAATATTTTATTGAAGTTAAATATTAGTAATAATTACTTTGCTTAGTAATAAAAAATGAAGCTGGTGCTTGATTGTTTGATATAATCACAGTTGATTTAGATAAAGAAGTATCATTCTTATTTGGACTGGCAATAAAATCTGGTAGAGTTTCCAAAATCTTTTCTAATTTATGCTCAAATTTATTTTTTTCATCTAAAGTATGGTATATATAATCGTATAACAATATATATTTATTATTTATGATAATTCATACCATAACTATCTTCATCTTGGTCCATGGGTTCTATCTCATCATAAAATATATCATTGAATGAAGCTTTCATGCATTGAATTTTATGGGCTTGTAAATTCATGTTTTGTGACAGTTGAGCTGTTACATTTACACTATTTTCTTTATTATTATCTATAAAAAAGTTTTCAAAAATAAACATTTTTATTCCATTATACTGATATATTTAACAAACCATAAAAATGCATTACGGAAGGATCATCATTCAAGGTTAATGAATCAATGGTCATAGGTTGGTTATTTGATTTCATTAGATACTGATGGGGTAACTGAGATCGATCCAGCCCAACTGTAAGATCTAACATTTGTTTATTAGCCACCTAACATAAGTTATTATTTATTTATATTTTGATATAAAAATAAGTATAATCATATTAAATGCAAACTCACTAATTGATTAGGACTACCATTTTCAACAACAAGTTTTCCAATTTTGGGTTTTTGAGGTATTGACTTTGGTTGTATTTTATTAGGATCTATATTAGTTACTTCTATATTATCATCATCTTCATCAGAATCTAATAAAGCATACTTTGAAAAATGATCAACACTAAATACCCATGAACCACTATCTAAACGATAATCTACAAAATGAGCATTTAGTTTTCCACAAACTCTTTGAAGTTTGGCAACAAAATTTGTGGCTGCAATTCTATCTGGACAAGTAATTGGTTGCTTAGTGGTTTTGTCAGTTGGCCAAACACGATCAAGAGTAACAGTGGCTTTCCTATTAAGCCCTTCTCCCAAAGGAGGTTTATTTTCATCATCTTGATAAATTATGACTTCCCGGTGTCTTATATGAACTGAAAGATAAAACAGTTTTTTTATTTAATATCATTAAGATAAATTTTATTATATTTATAATTTTATCAAAGACTTTAACCATATTGTTTGTTGATAAATTAATTAGTAGGTTTTTTATGTTAATACTAATAGAAAACCATAATTTGAGATTTAAAATTTAGATAGGAATTAATTTAATTGTGAGTTATAATATTTAGCTATAATAAGAGTGAGAGTTACAAATATTGACCTATTAACCTTGGTATTCATAAAAATAAAATTGATTTTTAAGCATGTATTTATAATAAAAATTTTGACATCCTGAAACTTTTTTATTTAAAAATTTTTAAATTATAATCTAATGGAAATAATCATCTAGCCTAAAACGCTTCTTGAGGCAATTTCCTCCTCAAGTCAACTCTTAAATACATACGCCTGCATATAAGTATTTTTATTCTTTACGTAAAATATTTAGTTAATACTGTAAAATTTAACTCTATTATGTTTTTTTTATACCTATTGAGTCTAAATCTAGTCCAGCAACATTAATACGATCGGGAAAGAAAACATTTCCGAAGTCATAACGCCCAATGGTAAATCCGTCAACATAGCATGCACCATTATCATCTACTAATTCTGCTAATTCATTCATAGGTGGTATTGTATAGTAACCAACACGTCTTAGTTTAATTCCAGTACAATGATCTTCTGCTTCAGGAATATTTGGATCAATGCTTGGTTCTTTATTATCAATTTCAGTTACTACAATATAATCCAGGATAATTATAAAAATACAAATAAGTAAAAGAAAAAATTTATTAACACTTTTTTTTGTTAGTTCAAGCTATTATAAAATAAGATTACTTCTTACTATAACCAGTATTTTAATTTTATCATTATAATCTTTTTTAAGCCTAAATTCTAAAATATTATGATATACTACCATACAATGAAAAATACTTTAGTTTGATTTTTTTTAATCTAATACATACCATTATTTTGAACAATATCAATGATTTCAACACCTTTAGAGCTATTTGGAGAGGTTTTTTTATTACTATGAAGTTCAGCTACAGTATTATTGCTATCATTAATCGATAAATCTACTTTTCGTGTGTTATCCAACAATGATCCTTGTTTTGCAATGAAATAATTTTCTAATCTAAAATAGAAATTATATTTGTTTAAAATTTTCATATTTTTAACAGAATAAAAAACTTACTTTGCTAATGGTTTTGTATGCAAGATTAAACTATTACTTGACTTTAATTTATTATCACTGTCTTTTTTTAAATTAAGCTTTTTATAATTAGTTCTTGGTGAAGAAACAAGAATAGAACCATCACTTGTTTTGTCATTTGTCTTAAACGATGGTGGAGACTCCTCAAGACCGTCAAATAAAGATTTACGATTGAACTGTGGAAAATTTCTGCGTACTTGAGGTAGGCTTTTAGGGGTTGGTATAGGTGATACTTTATAACTACTAAATTTATCAAGTGATACATTTTGTGATCTAACTACTGATGACTCATCAACTTTTGTTACATCCTGAAATAAAAACATTGTTAATTTTAATTAACTACCCTAAATATATATTATGCTTTAGGTAAATATAAAGCTTAGAAAACATTATTACAAACTTAAATCATTAATAACCTTATAAAATCTTTTAAATAATGGTGAATCACCATATGGCATTGCTTTAAGTGTTTCTAATTGCAATTGTATTTGATTATTTTGAGAAGATTGATTAGGTGTAAGTTGAGTATTTGTTGAACTAAAAAATTAATCACAATTTAGCCATACTTCATCATTTAATAACAATAAATAAACTAAACTATTTTACCCAGAAAAAAGACCTATGCCACTACCAGGTTGTTGCGAACTACCAAAAAATGATGTTCCACCAGTACCAAAACTACTGTTATTTGCAGAGCCAAATAAACCTGTACTTTGTGTACCTTGTCCAAATAAACCTCCTGGTTTTGCAGCACTACTAAAGACATCTAAAAAAATTTAATTACATTTTAATTTTACAAAAAAAAAGTTTTAATAATTTTTAATTTAGTATCTTAATTACATTGATGAAATATATTTTAAAAACATACCCTTTTATTAAAATATCAGATTTAATAATATTGAGATTATTATATTAAAAATAGCTACTAAAAAGTCTATAGAGCCAATTTCAAACATTTAATAGATTATTATTATTGCACATTATTATTCACACAAAATTTTTTTTCAATAAAAAATGTGTTAATTTAAGTAAAACATTGCTTATTTCTAATCGAATTAATACAAAATTAACTAACTTGTTTGTGTGTTATTAGGTTGATTAAATAATGATGTCTGAGGTTTGTTAAAAGCATTGGATCCAAACAAACCACCAGTAGCTGGTTGAGCAGTAGATGTAGCTCCAAAAGTATTAGTTGAACCAAATGCTGGAGTAGGCAACTGAAATCCAGTACTAGCTTGTTTATTTCCAAATAGACCGCCACCACTTGCACTAGTAGAAGTATTAGTTCCAAATCCAAAACTTGTTGAAGATGGAGTAGATCCAAGACCAAATGCAGATTTGTTTTGACTGAATAAGTTATTCTAGAAGATAAATATTATCACCTCAATATTGCTATTAGAATAAATTTTATAAAATTAAGACCAAAATATTATAGATGTATTCTCCACCCCTTTCAATATACCGAGTGATTCATTAAGAATAAGACACTCATTTCCTTGGAAACTAATAAAGAATTCAATTTTAGTAAAATTGATTCAAAAAACTACAATAATATGTAGTAAATAATTTTTATATTTGTCCTTTCAGAAATAAAAACTTAAACTTTAATAAGAACCGCTATTTTTATTTTAATGACATAAATAGAAAAAACACCATAGCACACTGGGAATACTGCATAGATAGGACTAATATGATATCTAATAGTGGTTGAAATCCAAATCATAAAAAATGCTTTGATGTAAATCTGTAGATAATGTTAAATTTGTAGAAATGATTGATGGATTATTCCAAAAGAAATATCAACTTTTATTTCCTTAATTATATCCTAATTACAAATTTTGTAATTTATAAATTAATAAATATTATTATAGTAATTAAATTTAATATGAAATTGATATTCAATAATTTAGTATTCTAAATTTTAAAGAGAAATTATATAAAACAAAAAAATTGTTACATTTTCATTACCTCTGTAGCAAACATGTATCAAAATAATAAATATGGATTTATAAAAAAAAATTGATTACTCTGAATTTTGTTAGTTTATTATAACTTCAGTTATGAAAATTGTTATTTTTGATAAACCATTGGTAAATTGAATATATATATATATATATATACATTTTTTTTTTTTTTAATTGACACCCCTATTTGTAATATACTTATTGATGGACATTAAAAAATGCAAAAATCTTTTTTTTAAATATTTATTATTAACAATTAAATCTTATTTTATTTTTTATTTTTTTTATAAATAAAGGTGTTTAAATGGTAGTATTTAGATCTCTTTCTATATGTCTATACTGTTTATCCTTAAGTATAGGCATAAACAATTGAAACAAAAATATTTAAGTAGAATATTACACAAAAATAACAACGTTTTTTGCTTAGCTTGAAGGATTGTTTAGATATAAAAGACAAGTCGTAGGGACAAATTTCCTTTTTCTACTAGTTATACAATATATAACTTATTATTTAACATACGAGATATATTAATGAACGCAATATTTCCAGTACATTTTCAAAAATTCTATTTTCATATGTGTGAGTCATGTTTTGAACCCTTCTTGCATAATGGAAAATGGTCAGATTCTTTTAAAAAATATGTCGGATGAAAGAGGTATGTATAAGGTACTTATAAAAAGAAAATTGTATTAATCCATACGTTAACACAAAAATAGTATGTCTTTTTAACTTAAGTTGTAATTTGCATACAAAAGATAAAATGTCGGGACAAATTTTTTTTGTTAACTTATAATATATTATACAACCTTTTCTTTATCATATATTTAATAGACACAGTATTTTCTCAGAACATTTTTAAAAGTTGATTTGAAAAGGTTAACATTACATTCATATTTTGAATTCTCCGTGGACATATAAATCATATTTTCAAAAAAAATATACCCAACGAAAAGGATACACTAAAAGTATTTATAAAAAACAATTATTTTGATTCATCTAAATTTAAAAAAGTTATGATAGTATTAAGAAAAAAAAATTTAAAAATACAAAGTTCAAAAATTAAAATTTTTAGGGATTTCCCCCTACTTATAGGGAACAAGGGTATTTCTTTCAATTTTTAATAATAATGTTTTCAACTATATACAATTTGTGATCTTTTGACATATCATTAATATAATATCAGCCCAGTAAGAACTGAGAAAAACTTGCAACAAACACAAAAAAAGTAAAAGTAAACACAACATTACTACTTATTTAGATTCACATCAAAACTAAAATTTCAAATAATATTGTTTTTTTGTCTGATCAACCATTTCAAAATTATACAAAAATCTGAATTCGATTTATGGTAGTTATCAAAAAAATTTGCGTTGAAAATAAGAGTATGTGTCTCTTAAAAGAATTATTAAAGGTAAAATTTCTGTATGATGAATAATTTTGAATTGTACTTGTGATAAATGACGACTACTGTATACTAAATAGAAAATGATCAATAGAAAATTGGTCAAAAATTTTTAAATTTAAACAAACATTAATTGAAAAACGTCAAACTATAAATAGTGGTTCCCATCTAAGAAAATTAAACAATAAAATTTTCAACATTTTCTATGAAAATATGTTTATTATCCTAAATGAATCACCCTCTATATCTTATGGCAATTTATTATTATAATGACTGTGATTTTATAAAGAAATTAAAATTATTGTTTTATATTAAATATATCTTATATCTTTTAAGTTACTAATTACTCTTTTTACTTTTAATGAAAATATATTTATGAACAACTTGTACTTTTGTTGTAAATTAAAAAAAAAAACAGAAAATTAAAAATTATTACTTGATTGGGTTGAGCACCAAATCCAGTTTGTCCAAATCCAGTGGTTGAAGGACCAAAAGCAGTAGGAGCAGTACTTCCAAAAATATTTGTTTGTGGTGCACCAACTAGGAAATTAGTCAATTAATTAAAAATCAGTAAAATTAGTTTTAATCTTCAAATGTGTATAATACCTCCAAATGGCTTGGATGTCTGAGCAGTATTTGCACCAAAAATACTAGGCTGAGTTGTATTCATACCAAATGAAGATGTTGATGTTGTAGTTCCAAAAGTAGGAGCCGTTTGTTGGGTCTTGCCAAAAATATTATTCTGTGCACCAAAAACACTTGATGTACTAGTACTTCCAAACCCTGTGATATTTATAATCTTTTAAAATACAAACTTAATAACTAGACATATCAATAAATACCTAAATCAAACAAAATTATATATACAGAGAGATCCGCATACTATGTCTCACGTAATATCTTAAAAAATATAAGTGTTATAAACAATTTTTTTTTTTAATCATTATGGATCTTTGATAAGCTGTTTTACAAGAAATATTAAATTTTTACCACCATATATTATGCTTAAAACTTGTGTTATATCAGATTTTCAAATGGCAACCCTATTTTTTTTTACACCATTATATTTAATTTAATAAAAAAAAATCTTTTGTAAAAGAAGTTATTTATTTTATTTATTATTAAGCGTTCTGGCTCTCTTAAGTTTAGGGTTTATTAAAAAAAAATCATAACAAACATGAACGTTATTGGTCGTTAGTTATTCTGACTATTGTGCGTTGACTGGTAGATCTTATCGCTACATAAAATAATAATGTGACCATGTTGGAAGACCTATTGCATTTTTTCTTTAAATATCTTAAATTTCAAAGTAGCCCATCCCATTTAAAATTTACATAAATAAATTTTTTTTTTTTTTTGATTAACATTTTTTGTTATGACGAACAAGATTATATAAAAATAAATTAAGTGATATAAATAAATAAAAGTAAATAAATATAAAGTGATAAATTGTACATTGACACAATAAGAAAGAAGCGTGTGAAAACTGGCCTCTGACAAATAATTCCTTCAGCTTTGAGTAATAGATTGAAGAATTAGGACTTGCAGGGTAAATTTTGAGGTATAGCTCGTGCATCAATAGGCAAAAACACGATAACTCCAAATCTGTTGTATGAGAGATCATATGAAGGAATTTGCTGCACCTCTAGCTCGTTTTTCAAATTGTTTAAAAAAACTGTTTAAACAATTTGAAAAACCATTTTAACAGTTATAAATGATTTTGTTCAATAGTAATTTGTTTTTGTTTTAAATTAATTTTAAAAAATTTTGTGACACAATATTTTTTAAACAAAGTTTTTTTCCCTAAAATGTTATTTAATGATACATTTTTTATAAAAGCTACAAAAAAAAATTTTAATTTCATAATTTACAGCTAGGGATGCAGCAAATTCCTTCATATGATCTATCATACAACAGATTAGGAGCTATCGTGTTTTGAAGAATGTCTCTTTGTCCCCTTTCACGCTTTATCATTACAAATTATCATTTTATAACATCATCCTTTGCCTATTGATGCACGAGCTATACCTCAAAATTTACCCTGCAAGTCCTAATTCTTCAATCTATTACTCAAAGCTGAAGGAGTTATTTGTCAGAGGCCAGTTTTCACACACTTCTTTCTTATTGTGTCAATTGATAATTTATCACTTAGCTCTAACAAAATATTCATTAATAAAAAATACATTTATGTTTTGCGAATTTCGATACACTCTAATATACATATATTATTAACAATTTCTATAAAAAATAATATAAAAAAACATTACTCTTTACAAAGGGATGGTGGTAATGGAGGAATAACCTAAGGCTTTTGGGGCCAAAATTGATAACATAGAATTTTAGATATGCAAATAATACATACTGTACTGTAGATTGTGTCACTACTGTGGATAAAACCACAGAATTCTTTAATGTATTGTGTAATGTAAAATTTATTACATATAATCTGAAGTAAAATAATGCTCTATCTTATACAAATAGCATAAAATAAACATCTTAAAATAATTATTAATATTATGGCTAAAAAACAATCATTCCTACCACCAAGAGCAGGAGTAGTAGATGTTGCACCAAAAAGTGGTTTATTATCATTAGAACCAAATAATCCGGTGCTGGTCGTAGCAGTAGAACCAAACAATGTTTTAGGTGCTCCAAATAATCCACCACCAACAGTACCCTAATAAAAATACATAATTATACACTTTAATAGAATGATAAATTCTACCAAAATATTTAAGAATATACCTGCTGCCCAACTTTTCTATTTGCACAATAATCTTCAAATCGTAGTTCTTCAAATATTTTTGATTCATATTCTTTCATAACCGTAATAGATTGATGTCTAGTATTAATAGTTTGATTGGTACCATTTTTAACCATTGTATCCGTACCAGTTACAGGATTAAATTTAATAGTGGTGCCACCAGTAGATACTTGTGCATTTCCAAATCCTGATGTAGCACCGAAGGTGCCTGAAATATTTCATAATTAAATTACTTTTTAATGTATATATATTTTTACAATTTACGTTAATCTGAAATAGTAGAATTAACTATTGAAAGTTATAACTATTTAAGTTAAATGTTTTAATAATTATGTGTATTTTTTTCACAAACTGTGATATATTTAAAACACTAACAATAATATGACAACTTAAAAGTAATACATGATAGTTTTTCAAGATTTTAATTTCTACCCTAATAATACTTTTAAATTTATTATATATATATAAAGACAAAAATAAAGATGAACCATCAGAGTTCATTAATATTAAATCACTTAAAATATAGATTTATGTTTACCAGCTGAGGGCACTCCAAAAATTCCAGAACCTGTTGAACTCCCCTGAGGTGTACCAAATATATTTCCAGATGGCTGTACAGTAGATCCAAAAGAAAATCCTGTATTAACAGGCTTAGGTTGACCAAATGAAGCATTAGGATTTGATGAACCAAATAAACTACCACCAGTATTTCCAACCATAGATGCATTTTGTTGTCCAAACAAGCTACTACTTGATGCAGGTGTTGCAGTTGGTGTTCCAAAAAGTGAGGTACCACCAGTACTAAAACCTAAAAAATTTTTTACAAAAGCAAAAAAAAAATATAAAATAAAACAAAACAAAAAAATTACCTCCAAAAGTTTGTTGTGCTGCGGGTGTCTGTCCAAAAGCAGGGGCTGCTGCTGTAGATCCAAACAAACCCGTGTTTGGTTGAGTAGTTTGATTGAATATTGATGTATTGGATTGTCCAAAAACACTAGTACCAGCAGGTTTACCAAAAGTAGATTGTCCAAATGCCGATGAATTTCCAGCTCCTCCTGAAAAAGCTCCTGAGCCTGAGCCTAGACTCAGAAATAAAATGAAAATTAAATAAAAGAAACTTGATCAATATAAATTATTATATTTAACTGACAAATTATCTTAAATAAATTACTTACCAAACATCTTGATGTGATAAGTATAATATGTTTAAAAATAATAAGTCATTTCAATAAATATTTAATATATTCAAATATGTTAATTTTAGATAAAATACACCTACAACGCAAACTTAGTTAGAAACGTCTTATTTACTATTTACTATTATTAAAAACGTGAAACACCGTTCATTTGTAATCACTATGGGAATGCGAAATAACTGAAATCTTGTTACTCACTAACCAACATAGAATAATGAAATCATGCGATTGATAACAATTGATACAACAAATACCAACCTTACAATATTTTTGTATAAATGAATTTCATTTGTCAGCCATTTCAAAATGTATGGAAAATTGGAGGTTAGTGAAATTATGAATTAAAAATTATTCATTGTGTAATGAAGATTTATTCAATAAGTTAAAAATAGGCTAACTTTTCGTTAGTGATAAAAGCAAATTAAAATTCTGAGGAAAATTTTTAAAAGGCTTCAAATGTTATTTTTTTTTTTTATAAATTATACAATTTTAAAAACAATATGTATGTTCCAAGGACACCGAAACTAATTTTTACATGAGAAGCAAAAATTTAATGACTAAAAATAAGTCTTTATGGTTTTTACAAAGCTAAAAATATTAGCAATTTAAAAAAACCCAGCACAGTGGGACGTGGTATAATTGGTCCAGTATAAATAATATCTGACAGTGATTAAAATCACAATTATAAAAAACGCTTCGATGCAACTCTGTAAATAAATTTTAATTTTAAGATGTTTGTGGATTATACCAAAAACATAATGAATTGCTATTTCCTTTATTATTCCTGATTACTATTTTTTTTTATTTGAAGTATAATTAATGAATAAATATTTATTAAAGCAATTCAACGTAGTATGAAATTTATATTTAATAATTTAGTATTGTAATTTTTTCGGGGAATTTATAAAAAATTATAAAGTAGTTTTTATTTTTATGGCAAACGTGTATAAAAATTGAAAGGCTCGACATAAAACTTTTTTTATAAAAATTTGTTGTTAATTATGAATATTATGAATTATGCAAAAAATGTTCATCAGGGTCAAAAATAAACTTTTATTATTCAATTTTTCGTGCTAATTTCAAATTAGCTATTACATTTTTTCACCAATAATTTTTGATATTATTACTAATTAATTAAAAACTATGAGGAAAATTTCAATTATATCATCTATATAATTATATACACCAAGTGACATAGAAATAATTAATATTTCTTTTGAAATGATTTATTACGATAAAAAAATAATTGAAACAAAACAAAATTGTTTTTAAATTATAAAAGATTTTGATTTTTTATATGTTATAAATAATCAATACAAAATTACATATTTAACCTATTTTTTTAATCCTTTAAAGTTGAATTTTGTGAGTTTATAATAAAAAAAAAATGTTGAATTTTCTACCATATTTTATAGCTCAATTTCATATTTGAAATTTACATTTTTAAATAGAAAATTTTATGAGAGTTAAAAAATTACATCGTTAAGATTAATTTGCAGTCAGGAAATTGTATTTATTGTTATTACTATTTATTGTAAATTTATCAGAAAAACTCAATATTTTTATTGTCATAGATCACATAAATAGACAGCACAGTAATCATTTCTAAGTATTTTTTTGGTGAATAAAAATATTCTACAATTGAAGTATTCCGAACATTAAATCATTAATTTTAATGATTTACTTAACTAAAAAAACCAATCGAAATGTTGTTAAAAAAATCTACTCAATTGAGTGTATTAGTTGTGATTATTTGATGTATCGTTAAAAAAAGTTGGTCCAGAGCTGAGAAAATAAAAGACAACATTAATATGAATAAGAAATTTCTTCAGACGAGGGGGGACTACAGTGATGGGGTCCTTGATATTTAATAAAGTTATTGAATCTAAATGAGATAAAAATCAAATGATTTAAAAACTTTTTAGCCATTTTCATTAAAATAAAGTCCGAATTTTTTTTTCCTTGATAAAGTATATTACATTAGCTTTAATTTAAGATATATATAAAAGTGTCAGTATTTCCAGAACACTTTCAAAAAAAGTTAATTTTTTGTGAAAAAATTGTCATTTTGAATCCTTTACCTGTGGCCAGATAAAGGGTCAGGTTTATAAAAAATACACAAAATGATATATGATTATTATTGTTATTCTTGATCCCTTTTCTTCAAGATCTTCATACCTCAATTTGATTAATTTTCTCCTTAAAGGAACTTATTTATTCTAATAAAAGTAAAACATTTTTTCTTTTAGAGTTACGTTGGATTTCATCTCATAGAAAATTTTTTTCTTTTAATTCCATGCCAATATAAAATTATGTTATTACAAAATATTAATGAATAAAAATATTACATATCCAATATAAAAAATTCCACTGGAGACAACAAGGAGACAGTTGATCCCTCTAACTTTTTCTTAGTCAATTTTATTATAAAATGAAAATTATTTATGCACCACTTTCAAAAAAGTGACTAATTTTGTTACAATTTTCAAATATTTCCCAAGTAAAATATTTTATATCTCTTTAAGAAAGGCAATTCAAAGGAAGAAATTCAAAAAAAATTTCATTAAAAAAATAAAACATTATATCAAAATTTGTACTTATGATATTTAATGTAAATAATATACATTGAAAAAATAAGTTTAACATAACAATTTAATCTTCCAAGAAAAAATATTGGCCAGCTCTTTTTTGCTCCACATCCTGGAAAAAAGGAACACAAATTAATATGAAGATACCTGAAATTATTGTAAAAATGTAATAACTACAAATTAAGAGGAAACTATATCCTGCTAGAAGATTTAAAATATTGAGAATATTTATAGATATTAAATATTTACATAATTCACATGTAGGCTTCTATATGTTCTATTAAAATTTTAGAATTATACAATTTCAATTTAAATTGATTTATAATATTTATAATCTATGAATAAATAAGTATTATTTTTAGTAGTTTATTTTAATCATAAATTACATATTAGAAACATTTTAAATGTACAAAAGCAATAAACAAGATAAAAATACTATAGAAAAATTATTTTTTCAAAAACTACATACAATTAAATATGACTCAGCCATTTGAAAGTGGGTAATTAACAAAAGTTTATTTTATTTTCAGTAAAATTTTTTTCTTTTTTCAAAAGAATTTAATGGGAATTAACGATCTATTATCAAAAATGTAATAAAAATAAGGCAAGGGATTACATCGCCAAACCAAGGTGTCATAGAGACATACTAGGCTACCATGCACTTCTAATTCACACGTTGATAAACTTTTATTTAAACTGACAAATTAGTGTGTACAGCTGAGAGAAATATTGAACATTGAGCTTAAAATTTGATTAAATATAATAAACTGAGGGGTCTAATTTACTATTTCTTACAAAGCACTCAAAATTAAATTTAATAAATTCTTCGCTAAAATTAGTCAATTACTAATTTTAATACTTTTCAACTTACCTTTACAGAATTTGTTTTATTTATACGTGGGCGGAAGTTATTAGGATCTCTTCTAAATGTAATTCCAAGTAATTCCAAGAAACGATTCATTCCTGCTAACAAGCCTTGAGGAGCATTGGCTGTTGAAGTAATAGATGGTTGGCCTTCCAAGACTATGACTCTATCGGCTAAATATGTTGCCATAATAAAATCATGCTCAACCACAAATCCAGTTTTTTTAGCATGTAAAATAAATCTTTTAATAACTTTAGCAGCCACTAAACGTTGCTCAGAATCCAAGTAAGCTGATGGTTCATCAATTAAATATATGTCAGCAGGTTTTCCTAAACAAAGTGCAATAGCTACTCTTTGCAGTTCTCCTCCTGATAAGTTTTGAACTTCTTGATCCATTATATCATCAATTTTCAAAGGTTTCATAACTTCTGTCACAAATTGTGGGTGTACATAAGCATCTCTTATTTTTTCATGTAGAAGAACTCTAACTAAACATTGACTTTTTGGACTAATTTTTTGTGGTTTGTAACTTACATTTAACCGAGGCAAATCAGCTAAAATAAATTTTAAATATATAATTGAATATAATAATGTTAATATTATAATTAATATATTTGAAATAAAATACCACCAAGAGAAAATTGATTAAAAGTTAGTTTTAAAAACTTTTATACATTTTGGCGCATTGTATTAAAATTAGAATTAAATATATATATATATATATATATATATACATATATATTAAATATGCTTAAGTTTTTTTTTATTGTTTAAATGTATAGTGTTGAAATGACTGAAAAAAGTAACTTAAAAATATATAGTAAAAAATCATCCAGATATAAGGCTTAGATATTCATGATTTATTTAAATCTTAAAATCAATTGAAAATATTTAAGGAGTAAACAATTAAAATTAATGTTCTTAAAAAGTTTTTAATTCAATAAATTATATTATTTTTTATTTTTTTTAATTTTAAATATAAGAAAAATAAAGATTATCTGTTATCAATTATGTTTCTAGAAATATTATTATTTAATTTATTTATAACATATTATAACCATGAAATATTGTGTGAATAAATATATACCCTAGCCACTAGGACCTAGCGTATTTGTGTTATTTAAAACATAGACTAGATTTAGCTCAAGACAGTCCTTCATTTAGGTTTACATTTATAAAGCCATTTCTTCTTACTAGTTCTGTCCTATATATTACTATGACTCACCTTTAGCACCATCAGGTGGCATAATTCCAGCCAACAGTTTAATAAATGTGGTTTTTCCAGTACCATTTTCACCTAATAACACTAAAATTTCAGAATCAGTAAATTGCCCATTTTCAACTTTTAAAGAAAAGTTTCCAAGAGTTTTGGACATCTCTGGATACTCATAATGAGTCATTCGTTTTACTTCTTCTTCAGTTGCACTTTCAGCCACTTTAAATATCAGACTTTCATCTCGAAAACGAAGATTTTCAGTTGGTACAAAACCATCCAAAAATATATTAATTCCTAAAAATAGAAATTCATCTGTAAAATATCAATTTTTAAATAAAGTAAAAAACTAACCTTCTCTTACTGAGAAAGGCATAGTAACTACACCATAGGCTCCAGGTACTCCATAAAGACAACAAATGTAATCAGATAAATAGTCTAAAACTGACAAATCATGTTCTACCACAATAATATACCTAAAAAAATAATTTGATACTATTTAAATTATTATTAATGTTATCATAATAACTTACTTATCAGGAGCTATTAATGAACGAATTGTAAGAGCAGCCTTTAAACGTTGTTTCACATCAAGATAACTAGATGGTTCATCAAACATAAATATATCTCCATTTTGTATACAAACCATGGCACATGCAAACCGTTGTAATTCTCCTCCAGAAAGTTGATCAATAGATCTATCTCGAATTTTATCTAATTCTACAAAAATTTAATAAATATACATATTAATAAAAAAATTAATCAAATAATAAATTGTAATATACAATTATCACAATAGTAATTAGTTGTCAAACTCTTTAGATTTCAGTTATATAATAATTTAATTCTTTTAAAAACAAAAAAAAAATTTTTTTTATAAGATAAATATTATTGGAGAACATTTTAATGGTATAAGCGCGTTGGGTTTACAATATTAGACTTTTGAAGTATACACATTTTTATTGTGTCTAGGATACATTTATACTGCTTTCAGAACTTATGACAGTTCCATTATTTAATAGTTAATAGCTCACACAATAAAAATTCAGAGTTTTAATGGCAACTGAGTCAACTATTACATAAAACCAAATTCTTGCTTTAAGATGTCTGACTATATAAAAATACATTGTATATTTTATATAGTTTTGAATAAGTTATATTTTATAATATTATTTGAGCAAAATCATTAGCTTAATATATTACCAAGAAAATCACAAATTTCTTCAATATTATTTCTTTCATTTTTCTTATCTAACAATTGCTGAACAGTTCCTTTTACAGCCTTTGGGATTTGATCAACATATTGAGGTTTTATCATTGCTTTTAAATCATCTTCCAAAATTTTTGTAAAATAATTCTGTAGTTCAGAACCTCTAAAATGATTTAAGATTTCTGACCAATCAGGTGGATCCTATAATATTAAAGCTAAGTTACTTTCAAATGAATATGAATAATTTCAATTTATTTGACAAAACAATCTATTGAATAAATTATAAAAGAAAACTGACTGAAAAACGTCCAAGATTTGGCTTTTGTTTCCCAGCAAGAATTTTAAGGGCAGTAGATTTTCCAATTCCATTAGTTCCAACTAATCCCAAGACTTCACCTTGTCTTGGTGTAGGTAATCTATGCAATTTAAATGAATTTTTAGAGTACCTATGAGTTGTATCCTTTTCTAAATTACTAGGTAAATTAATAATTGTTATAGCTTCAAATGGACATTTTTTCACACAAATACCACAACCAATACATAGCTCTTCTGATATTGATGCTATTTTGTCATTAGGAGCAACTTCTATGCATAGTTTTCCCATTCTGACAACAGGACATGACTTTTTGCATTCTTGCCGACATCGCTTGGGTTTACATTTGTCATTATTAACAATAGCTATTCGAATTTGTTTGTCAGTTTCCTCTACAGCTTTGTTTCGCGGCATTGAAATATATATTCAAGAGAACTAAAAAATTATGATTCAATTAAAAATAAATTAAATTTTAAACCATTAGTAAATTAATTTGTGTCTAATTCATCTGTAATAAATAAAAATAAATAATTGACTAACTTTACCTGTTAAAACTGATACAATTAAAAATTAGATAAACTCTTAAGATATCACTGCATTAAGAGTCAAAATTTAGTACACCAATCTTGTATGTGTACAATTCGTGTACCGTTATTCTTAAACTTCTATTAAAATAAAAAAAACAGAGTAAAACTCTGAAATATTTTTATAATTAAAAAAAACACGTTGACAGTGATAACCTTAAAGTTAGGAACCGCTTTAACACAAGGAGAACATATAAAATTTTTGCGATTATAGAATGATAACATATAAGTTATTGATAATGGAAAATGATAAAACTTATATGTAAACTAGCTACCACAGATATATAACATATATATATATATTTATTATATATCTATGCTAATTACCGTACACTGTTAACAAATCATAATGTTGAATAATTCACAAGTTCTTCAATTATTTAAATAAACGAAATGAAAATTTGATTCTTTATAATTATAAGTTTTTTAAATTTTAGTTTTAGAATTTTTCATTTTTATCTAATAAATTTTGATCTCATTTTTAAATATGGCAGAAAATACAGAAACAAAATTTAAAGGTATAATAATCAAAGATTCTTAAAAATATGTTTTTTAAGCATTATATTTTATTTTCTTTATACAGAGTTAGTATCATATAGTGAACCAGCTTTAAGAAATAATTCTTCAATTGTTGAATATTGTCGTACATCCATGTCAGCATTATCTGGAAGCACAGCTGGGATTTTAGGCTTAACAGGATTATCAGGATTTATATTTTACATTTTCTCAGTTTTTATGTTATGGGTAATTAGTTAGAAAAAATTGATATTTTTAAAAAAAAATAATTTTTGTCTTTTTTACTTATTACTTTAAAATTAATTTTTTTATTTATTTACAATTTTAATTAATTTTATTCTATTAAATAAATAAATTAGGATCAGCCAATTCTATTGGCTGAACCCAAGTAGATAGGTTTAAGGCGAGAAAAAAGAAGAAGAATGAATTTTATTCTATACATGCTTTATTATTCAAATTATATATCAGTATATTTTTTCATTTTACAATTGAATTTTATCAGTCCATAACAGAATTGATATTTAATTTATTCTCACTGCATTTTATTACTACAGTTTGTAGTATATTCATAATATTTTAAATAATTAATTATATTAATTGAAGTGGTTTTTGTGTGGACAATTTCATTTAACTTTTAAAATATCGGGCTAGAGGCAAAGCTTAGATGCTATTTTTATTGTTAGTCATTTCTTTCTCAGATTCCTTTTCCCGTTTAAAAACAAAAATGTTAATAATATCTAAATCAATGTTCCAAAAGTTATCAACCACTCATTTTCTATTATATAAGTTAGTTTATTACATATATTGTCAATAAAAAAAATTAAGTTGAAACTTCTATTAGTTACAAAGGATGGACCTAAATATTATATTATATATATATAATTTTAAATAATATATTATATTATTTTAAATAAAGATGCATGTGTAATTAAAAAAATTTTCAAAAAAGTTATTATTTTATAGTATTAGTATAATACACTATTGCATTACAATAGTATAATATGATAGTAAAACTAAATATTGTTTTAAAATATTTGAAATTTCTACTTAAATAAGAATTTCTAACTAGTTTGTTGGAAATTTTATCCAATCAACCAACTTGTTGATAGATTTAAACTGCAGGTATTAATTATTTTCTTACAAAAATTTTTTTTCTAAAACACTTAAATTTATAAATAGTTTTAATTACAACTGACACAATAAAATTAAGCATAAAAGAATCTTGATAATCTAACTGTTTATAGAACCACAGTAGTGCTAGTCTATGAAAAAGCAGAATCACCAAAAAATCTGTCTGTTCACCTTATACGAGAGATTATTAAAAAAGTTTTGCCCCGAGTGGTATAATCAAATTAACTCCAGAACAATAAATTATGTATAATAATTATAAATCAGAAAAAAAATTATTTTAAGAGGGGAGAAAAGACCCGTGCACCCTCTGTATAAGGGACTGTAAATATTAATAATGGTGCCGTTTCAATCATCAATTACTGTGTATGGTGTACTACATCAGAACCATATTATCAAGATCAATCTATATACTGTAAACTGATATTTTCCTGGTTGAATTTAATGCTTTTTTAACTTACCATTTATGGAGAATTGCCCACCATGTTTAATAACATTTGATATAGCAAATATTATGAGTTTTTTTTTTCATTTTTTCTCTAATGTATATAAAATAATCTTAAAATTTATATTTTTTGAAATTTTAAAATTATCCTTTTCTTCCAAAAAATTTTGATGGGTAACAACTTATGAATAACTATTGAGTATAAGCATTTTAATACATAAAGTGGGTTGTAATACGGGGATACAACTTGTACTGATATATTTAATTATACTCCACCCACGTTACATATTCACTCTATGTATGAAAATACTTGTAACACCACAATAATAACTCATTATTTTTATTTATTGATAAGTAATTAATAAGTACTTAACAACTTCTCAAACATTTTTAAAAAAATTGATATTTTCAAATCTAAAAAAAAAACAAATTTATTATTTTTTAAAACTGTAAAATTTAAACTATTATTTCAATATAATATAATAATTATATTATATTAAGAAAATATTTCGCTATTATTAATAACCTATTAAATAAACACATATATATTCAAACAAATTATTATCTTCGCGTATATTTTTATAATAAGTCCTTTAAAATATTAATAATATAACAGATCAATTTTGTTTACTACATTTATCTAAAAAATAATCAAGCTATAATTATCTTACATTATTACATAGTATAAATTTATTTTATGGATAATTAATACAACATTTATAAATTAAAAAAATAACAATATGTTAAAGTAATAAAAACAATATATCACGTTAAAAAAAAAAAATTATTATATAATAATAGGTATAAAAATTATAATTTTAATAAATTAAATTATATAATAAAAATATTATATAATAATTATAAGGTCACATTTTTATAACTAATTGACTTTTTAGAATTATACTGTATGTAAGTATAAATCAAATTTTCTAAAGTGTACTAATCAAAGTTTTTTAAATTTTAGGGACTTTTATTATTTAAAGCAGGCAAATGTTGGCAAAAATACTTTTTAAACAGACATAGTTTACTAACTGGAGGATTTTTCAGTGGACTTTTTGTATCCTTTTAAAAACTTCATTACATTTTAAAAATATTACACAACTGTGTATTTTTATTCAAAAGTAAAATAATTATACTATAAGTCTTACATTAATTTATTTCTTAACATGTTTTTTCAGACATATGTATTATTTTGGACGTATCCTTTTATGATTAAAATAATTATATTTATTTTAACTTAAATATTATTTCAGAATTTTTTACATATTAACAAATAATACATAGTACAATATTACCAAGATTACTTTTTTTTGTTGAAAAACTCCTAAACTATCAACTTTGTTGAAAACAGTTCTACACCTTTTTTTATTTATATAGTGTCAGAATCAATCAGAAAATTTATTATTATAAAGTCTATATTAGTTTAAGATATAATTTACGAACATTCTATTGTTATTTGGTTTATTATTATTACTATTATGAATTTGAGTTAAAAAATTTAAGAATCATTAATTAATATTAATATAAATCATAAAATTAAAAAAAGTTAACTTCAATTAATTCAAACTTGATGTGAAATTATTACGAATCAAATAATATAAGTATTATTCAAAAACTTCCCATAAAGATGAAAATATTTTGTTAGCAAATATATTACTCAAACAAAATGTACAAATTTCTTACTACTCATATTACCCTTAATCATATTTATAGATTTTTATATGGAATGGTACATGTGTATTGATTATTGCATAGAATAAAAAAAATAGAAGCACATAAAAATAGCCATCAAGATAGTTTACACATAGTTTTGTTGATGTAAAAAATATAATAAAAATAAACATAAATTATTGCTATAATGAGTATTTTATATGAATAGTTTAAATTAATAAAAAACAATTATCACTAGTAACAACATTTATTAAACTAACTATAAATGGTAATTAATATTAGATTAAATATAGTATATAGAAATAATTCTAATAAAAACTAAGAACCAGTCAATTATTATCAATATTCTAAATAGATAAAAGTATAAAATTTTAAAATATTTGTATACATTTTATTATGGAACAGAATATTAAAACTAAGACTTCCTTGAAATATAGCATGAATTTATTTAATATCATATATAATACAGTCATCATTTGGTTTATCTGATATATCATTTTCATTACTTTTAATTATTTCATATTCATTCAGCTCAGTGTCCAATTCATGTTCCCAATGATGTTCTACAAACCGGTTCCGAAAACATTTAATAATCACACAAGGATAAGAGAAAATATGTTAAGATTTAATAAGTGTTACACGTTAAGGATAAAGGATAAAGCGAGTATAAGATTAAACACATTCCTCAAAGGTAAAAGAAAGAAGCACTTAAAGTCACCTTGTAGTTGAAAATTGATCATACTGTTCAAGCTGTCAAAAAATATACACTTTTTTGCTTTAAAAATCCTAAATTCTAATTATATAATAAATGAATTAAATAAATTCTTATATTAAATCTATTACATGAATTGGATGTTCCATATTAATTGAACTTATCAAAACTATATACACATTAATTTACATGATCAGAAAAAAATTATTCTACTAAACATATAATAGCTACTTCATGCATTTTATTTGTCAAGAAGCAACATTCAAGATTTTTGAACACTGATAAACTAAATTCAAGGCTACAAAAAACAATTTTTAATAATATAATAAATAAGTATAAGCTTCAATACGAAGCTGAGATACTATTTTTTTAATTTTTATAACTATTATTTTGTGTGTGTGTCTGTTACCACTTTATTTTAGATTTCACTACACAGATTTATATCAACAATACGTCAAAAAATTACAAATTGTATCCAGTCAAAGACATTACCATTACAAATTAACAAAATTTCTCTTGTGCCCCGTAAATAGGGGAAATCTTCAAAACTTAAAGCAGACTTAACTTATATGTGTATATGGCAGCTGTAGTTAAAAAAAAGCTATTTTTGTGTTAAAATTCTTAATTATATATTTTTAACTTTATATTGCTATATCATTTTTAAACAATTATCGATCAATACAATTTTTTTTAATTATAAAAACTTAATATAATTACCCTTTCATCCAACATACTTTTTTTTTAAATCTGGCAATTTCCCTATATACAGAGAGACCAAAACTTAAATGCACACACTATAAGGAGAACTTATTAACTTAAATTTTGTAAATGTTCCCTAAATCTTAATAATTTTCCACTATGAAAATACAGAAATCCAAAACAATTTTGAAGAAAATAATTTTTTAATATAGAATTTATAAGATATATTGTAGCAAAGAAATAAAATGCTTTGAATTTAGATTATCGTTTTATATTCTATTAATATTAGCTTCGATGTGAAGCTGAGAAGGTATTAGTTTTACTATGATGTTTTTTTTTTTTTTTTTTTCACTACTTTTTCTCAGCTCTCACTGGACCGATTTCTTTAAATGATACGTCAAAATATCACAAATTGTATCTAGTCGAAGACATTACCCTAAAAAATTGAAAAAATTTCCCATAAATGGGGGACACCTCCAAAAATTTTTATATATATCTTAAATTAAAGCTAATGTAATATACTTTATTATGGAAAAAAAAAATTTCGGACTTTATTTTATCTTCACGGTGAAAATGGCTACTGAATGCTATTTTTGTGTGAAAATTCTCGATTTTATTTTTTACATTTTTAAATTTATAATGCTATAACTTATTGAAAAGTGTATGGATCAACACAATTTTTTTATAAGAAATAATATTTTTTAATAATCCCTTTTTCATTCGACATACTTTATCTTAATCAGGATATTAATAAGAAACTAGCTGATTATGTAGCTTTTGGAATAATTCACCGATTTTTTAAAATTAAACATTATCTAAAGATTTGCATCGAAGTGTTTTTTTAATATAGTGATTTTAATCACTGTCAGATATCATTATACTTGATCCAACTATGGTACATCACTACTGTGCTGGATTTTTTTTTTTTAAGACCCTCTAGAAAGTTATTGAAAACAAAGTTGACAAATAATAATATATTCATAACTAAAAATGTTGTTTTCCTATAAATTTAAATAAATATTTATTTTTTAATTTTTTTATACTATTTAGGTTCATAAATGAATCTGTCTCTAAATGAAAACAAGGGCAAACCAATCTACTTACCATTTTCTGAAGAATTAACACCCAAACTTTTCTTTAAACTTTCTCTTATTTCATTTATTTCTTTAGAATCATGCACTGCAAATGTATCTGATACAAATTCAGTTTCTTTTACATAATTGTGAGAAGCATTATCTCCAGAGTCTAGTATATTACAAGAATAAATACTTATAAAAATCAAATAAATATGTTTATATAAAATGTGTGCATAGTAATTTTATTAAGAAAAAAATTAACTTTAATAATATTTGCATTCATGCAAAATAATCAATACTGCTAAATTAAAATAAGTAAGAAATTAAAATTTTAAAATGTATTTAAAATATTATTTTAATTCAAAAAGACACATAAATTACTAAATAATCGAGTATAGATAACTATGGAGTGATGTTATCATCATTAATGTTAAAAAATATCAACAGCATATATCTTTAGCACTGATGATATACTCATATATAATATGTATACACAAATTTTTAGTAATTTTGATGACATATTGAGTTAATTTTTTTAATTTTAAATAATATTAGCCACAAGTGATCAATTCTTGTGAAATAAAAAAAGATGGGAACATCGTTTTCTATCTTTAATTACAGTAAATGCGTATAAAAGAAAACAAATTATTTTTTTTGACTTATTGCAATGTAAAACACAGTTATTTTTTACATTGATAAAATTGTATTTTTTAGTTTCAAACTTGAATTTTAAAATAATACACTTTCAAAATCAAAATTTTTCTTTTTTTGCTTTATCAGCCTACAATGTGTAAAATTTTCTTTCAATCAATTTGATTAAAAGAAAATCTTATATAAAATAATGTCCAATTATAAAATAAAAGAAAAAATAGGTCTGTGCAACCTCTTTGTGTTCAAATTACAATTCAAAATGTTTGAGTAACTAACCTAAATTTTAAAAATCGTAAATATACAACTATTTGTTAAATAAACGAATATCCATAAAAAATTGAAATTGAATGAAAATTTTCACCTTTTTCTTAAATAAATTTAATCACAATATAATACACTACGAATAAACAATAGTAGTGATATATTTTTTTAATTTACTTAAATTTGTTTACCTTACCTTGAAAAATGCACATTTGTTAATCTATCACACAGTGCCAGAACTATAAATTCATGCATAGGTGCATAATAAATTTATAAGAAATCTCAATTTTGAATTTAATGAAAAAAATTTAATTACATAATAATTGAATAATGATTATTTTTATTACTATGGTGATGTGAATTTTTTTAAGAGCTCTTGTATATTGCATATAAATTAAACAATTTTGGCAATAGTATATTACTAAAATAATTCATTTTTTATGAATTCAAAATTTAATTTAATGACAACAAATAAAATTTTAATCAATTTTTTTAATTAATTACTAATTAAAAAATAACTTTGAAAAAAGTTTACCTGTTAAGTCCATAGAAATATTTGATGTTGCATTATAGTCCTTTGTATCTAATGTTTCTAGATTATTTGCATTGCATATTAAGTTAACTCTGTAGAAATAATTTTGCCAAAAACTTTCTTCATTTATTCTATGATACAAAATAATTTTAAACATTGAAAAAAATAATCTATTATTGCCTTACATTTTTGGTACAAGATCAAATCGCATTTTTTCTAAGTTGGGATCTTCAGACAAAATAGATAATGCTATGGGATAAGATGTTGTATAATCAAAATTGAAATCTACTCCAACTGGAGGACTGCGTACAAAATTTCGTCTATCCTAGTAAGTAATAACAAAATTGAAAATAAAATTTTATATATTATAATTAAATAATTCATATTATTATTTTATTATTGTTAAATAACATTCATGCAGCAATTTCAGCACTAATAATACTATGAAAATATTTTATTACGGTGTATATAAAAGTAAACTATATTTTCAATCCCAAAATAGTCTTGAATCCTAACACATACTTATCTCAACAGTGTTTCCACTTTATAAGAAACAGTCTTTAAAAGATTCTTCTGAAATTACCTTCAGTTTCTTTGTCGCATTTGCTTTAATCTCGGTAATTATATAAAATTTCTTTCCTTTCAGGGGTCTTTTTAGTTTAGAGAATAAGAAAAAATCAAAGGGAGTAGGGTGAATAGGGTGGTAAAGTACAGTGATCAATTATTTGGCAAAAAACTCACGAGTTCTGATATCTCAATAAGCTGACGCATATTTATGATAGAAAAATTAATTAACTGCTAGTTTTTCATCCTAGAATGTGGAAGAGTTCATAATCCTGGTAATGAAAAATGATTCAGAACTTCAATATAGTAAATCTAGTTCTCTTTGGAATCTGTAGAAAGGTACTCAAGGTGAACAACACCTTTGACAACAAAAAAAACAATCAGTATCTCCTTTATATTAGATCAAACTTTGTAAGCTTTTTTGGGTCTGAGAGAATTTTCATTTATCTTTGAAGATAATTCAATCTATGTTTTAATGTCATAACCGTACACCCATGATGCATCATGTATTATGATTCTTGACAAGAAATTTTTATCCTTTTCTGCATAATCAAACAGTTCCTGTTTAAGCTGGATATAATGGGCTTTTTGGTAGTTCATTATCAATTGAGGCACAAATTTAACAGCAATGTGGAGCAACTTCAAATTTTCAATCAACATTTAACAAGAAGATCCAAGTGTAATAATGCTAAGCTATTCTGGAAGCTCCCTAATTGTTAAAAGTCATTTTGCTTTCCAGAGGGTTGATTTTGTCAACATATGGATTAATAATTGATGTGGAATGACATCAAGTAGTTCATCGTCTTCAATTGACTCTCAACTAAACCTTACTTGAAATATTCTCTCGTTTTCATATAACTACAACTGTAAGTTATGTTAAACATTTTAACAGTTTCAGTCACAGATTTCCTGAATTTGACATTTAAGTCTTTTTTAAGTTACTTTTTAAGCTCTTTTAAGTTACTCATTTTGAAATCCACCAAATAAAAAAATCAAACTTCACCAAAAGTTGTATAGTTTATTAATAAACCGTGATTGGTAAATGGTATTCAATGAACCATAATTGGTAAGTGGTGTTATTATCAATTGATATGTACAAAGTAATACAAAGAATTACCATAAGCATGGATTCCCCTAAGATTAAGAGGAATCACACAGTTTAAAAAGCCTACAATTTTTTTTAATAACCCTTTTATAGTCTTTGTATGTTGTCATACAAGGAATGATGATAAAAATGTCTTTTTTTAATGTAAGCTATATTACAATTTAAACTATAAAAATAAATCAATAGATTAGATTATAGATTACAATTAGATTGTTATTTTAAATAAAATTCAATTTAAATTAAAAATTCCAATTTAAAAAAATTGACATGATAGCTTTAAAAATAAAAAGACTCATTTTATTTTATTTAACTGTTATAACTATGGTACTAGGTTCAATTTCTTTTTTGAAATAAAACATAAATAACCATTCAAATTAAAAGATGAAAAATAATTCATATATTTGATTACACTGAGAAATTTAATATTACTTACTGTGGATAATGATAAACATTCAGCCTTAACTGCCTCTTCATTTGGATGTCCAACCCAAGGTGGAACTGCAGCAATACTACAGTCTTTTTTGTCTTTTAAAAATGATTCTTGCTCTTTATTTAATTCTCCAAGTATTCCCTGAAAATATTTTTTTTCTTCAATTTTTAATTTTAATTAATTTGATAAATAATAATAATAATAAATATACAAGTAACTTAATATATCTATAGAGTAACTATATACAACCTATATGTCGTTTGTACAGATTATGTTATAGTCATTCATAATTAGTTGCTATTAAAATATTTAAAGTAGAAAGTAATACTTCAAATTAATTTTTAATTTAAAAATTTAAAAATTCTTCTTTTTTTATTTCTTAATAGAACTAGAGTTTTATTTTTTCTTTATTACTAAAAATATTTATTTTTAATGATTTTCCTGTAAGCATTAAACAATTTTATCATTCAAACTATAGTTTAATTAATAATGACCAACAAAAATAATTTCAGTAAATTTGTTTATGAATAATTATAAAACTATGAGTAATTTTTTTGTGAACAAATCATTATTTTATGTTACAAATAAGTATAATCATAACTAAATCACCCTGTATTTCTATAACATTTGTTCATGTATATGTATATTATTAAATAAACAGTGATAAGAGTAATACCTATTTAGGTCAAGGTTGAGAATAACTGCTAAGTACAAAGGAAATGGAAGGGAGTGTAAGGGTGGATAATGGATCAATAAACTGCTGCTGCTATTAAACAGCATCCCTGCTTTTTGATTACTATCACTATATATGCATGTGAAATCCTAAAAATACAAACTGATATGTCACTTTAAAGTGAATATAAGCTTAAAATTTTTAGCTAAAATTGAAATAACATAACAAACTTATTAAAATTATTAATTTCAAACCATAAAAAGTGAATTATTTAAAAGTCATATAAGGTTAATACTGTAGATATTATTAGTTAAAAATAAATAATATTTTAAAACAAAAATTAATAAAAATAATCATTTTTTGAAAAAATAGTATAAATATTTCAAATTGAAATTTATTATTTGCGTTGATTTAAAATCAATATTTTTTTTGGACATTTTTATTAATCCTATATTAATTATTAATATAAAATATATATATATATATGTATTAACTTACATTATCTCCAACAGTTTTTTTAATTTTTGCTCCAGCTTCACTTACAGTTTTTCCTGCTTTATTTACAGCACTGTATAAGAAATTTCCAAAAGATTTCGCTCCTTGTAAAGCTTTGTTTGAAACTAAACAATGAAAATAAATTTTTTTAATAAAAATAAATACTTAATATAATAAATAGTCTAAATAAGATATTAGAATAAAATTCAACTTAATAATACTAAATAGTTTTACATATGAAGAAATTAAAATTTGTTAATCCAATATAATTAAAATAAATCAATAAAGGTAGACTAAAATAATAAGAATTTTATTGTTTCATTTAAATTTGATAAATTCTAAAAAGTTAATTTAAAAAACATAATGTAGTTTCAAATATTTAATGGTAATAAAAACATTGGGATTAAATAAATAATTAAAAAAGACAAATGAACAATGAAATCTAATATTCCAAAAATATGTTTAACTTAATACCCAATTTTTGTTCTAACACATTAGGCTATTCTTGAAAAATAGTTGATGGTGTGTGATTTGTTATTGATAATTTTAAGTTTTTCATATAAATAATGTCTTGTCAAGTCAACTAATGAACAATAATATTTGTCATATAATTTGAATATTTTAGTAATTAGGACCATGTTAATACTTCATGAAATTGAATTGTATCTAAATGTAATTCTTTTTTTTTAACTTTTTTTTTTTGTCCCTAAGTGGTTAAATAATAAAATATACTTTAATTGATTTTAATATTTAAATTTAATTACCATTTCCTTGAGTAGTCCCAAGATCATCTTCTGTTTCTGAAACAGGAGTATCAGGATCCCCAGTTGCACTACATTTATAATAAATTAAACTAGTATCAATGATTCAACAGAACTTCATAATTTTTAAAAATATAATGTATAACAAGAAGAAATTAATGTAAAACAATATTAAATTCTAATTACCTTGAGTTGTCATCTTCTTTTTCTTTAGACTCATCAGTTGCCTCTTGTAAAAGTTCTGCTGGAGGATCAGGTACAACTTCACTATCACTCTTACGTAGTCCAGATATACCACTTCCTAACCAACTTGACATTTGGTTTTTAACATTTCCCAACATCTCCAATTTACTGGGTGGTTTTGTTGGACTAAATAGTAAAATATATAAGATTATAGATAAACTTTAAATCAACAATAGTACTCCAATCAAAATACCTTATGTCAGGTTTATTATCAATATCTTCAGGTAATTCTGTCTTTGGAGAAGGGACAGTCTCTTCGACATCTTCTTGCTTTTTACCAATCCAACTGCTTACTTGACTAGTGATTCCGTTAAACATTTTGTTGTGGTTTTATGGACACAATTGTACAAATATTTTATCCTACACAAAAATTAATCAGAATGTTTTTATTGGAATGAACATATAATTATAAATACGAAATTTAGTGGAATAAAATTTAAGCGATTTACTGAATCAGCAACGCCCAACAACACGCTCACGCGCCAGACACTCAACTGGATTGAGGTATCATGATGTGCTGTGGTTGGCCCAAGGCCCGCTCACCACCAAAACAAATACGCGAGTAGTGTTATTACTGCTGTCTATCGTATACTCCCATAGGAACATCTAGTAGTATTTGTGTAGTGGTAACTCTGTGATATGGATTTTTCATTTTTACGTCACTTGAATTCTTATCACATAATTAAAAACGTTAGCACAGTGGGGTCGTGACAGAGTAGGGATGATGCATAGTTTGAGACAAGTATAGATGATATCTGACAATGATAATTATCACTATCATAAAAAACGCTTCGATGCAAATCTGTAGATAGTGTTCAATTTTAAGAAATTAGTGGATTATTCCAAAAACAAAATTAACTCCTATATCCTTTATATACCCTGATTAGTGGTTCTTTGATTTAAAAGTATAAAATATGAATAAATAATAATTTAATATTGTGTAATATTTACGAAGATATTATAAAAATAATATAGTAGTTTTATATTACTTAACTATTAACGTGTATAAAAATTTAACGGGCTTGATGCAATACTTTTCAATAAAAATTGTTTGTTTCTTATTAATAAATACACTGTACTACATGGAATTTTAATCAGAAGAAAAAATATACATTTCTAAATTAACTATTCGCGCTGTTTTCAAATCAGCAATTAGACCATTTCTATCATTTTTAGTTTTGATATTATTACTAATCTTTAAAAAATGAGTATTTCCATATAAAAAAATAATTAAAAAAAAGAAAACATGTTTTCAAATTATTACTGATTTTTATTATATTAAAAAAAATTCCAGCACAGTGGGGTCGTGGCATAGTTAGGTCCAGTATAGATGATATCTGACAGTGATTAAAATCACTATCATAAAAAACGCTTCGATGCAAATCTGTAGATAGTGTTTCATATAAAAAAAAAGTTTATCAATCAGTGTAATCCCTTTATAATAAAATAAAATACAAAACCAAGAATTTTAACACAAAAATAACATATTTTTGAATACGGTAAATATTTTCACCATGAAAACTAAATAAAGTCCGAATTTTTTTTTTTTTTATATTGAAGTATATTACATAAGCTTTAATTTAAGATATACATAAAAGTGGCAGTATTTCCGGAACACTTTCAAAAATTAAGTTGAAAAAGTTCTACTTTCTATATGCATTTTTATGTTTTGAACCCCCCTGTATTAAGGGAAATGGTCCGATTTAAAAAAAAAGTATGTTGAATGAAAGAAGAATATAAATATTATTTCTTATAAAAAAATTGTATTGATCCATACAATTTTCAAAAAGTTATAACATTTTAAAGTTAAAAATGTAAAAAATAAAATCGAGAATTTTCACACAAAAATAGCATTCAGTAGCCATTTTCACCATGAAGATAAAATAAAGTCCGAAATTTTTTTTTTTCCATAATAAAGTATATTACATTAGCTTTAATTTTAGATATATATAAAAGTGTCAGTATTTCCGGAACACTTTCAAATGTTAAGTTAATTTTTTGTGAAAATGTTATCATTTTGAATCTTCCCCTGTGGGCTGGTAAAGGGTTAAATTTATAAAAAAAATATACCAAATGATAGGTAAAGACATCAAGCATCTACAAAAAAAAAAAATTATATTGATTTGTTTATTTTTGAAAAAGTTATGGCAGTTTTAAGCAAAAAAAATGTCAACATTTTCAAAAATTAGCAATTTTTAAATTTGTAATTTTTTTGGAGGTTTCCCCCATTTACGGGGAACGAGGGAAATTTTTTCAATTTTTGAGGGTAATATTTTCAATTATATACGATTTGTGAACTTTTGACGTATTGTTGAATGAAATCGGTCCAGTGAGAGCTGAAAAAAAGTGGTAACAGACACAAAAAAATACACATCATAGTAAAATTAATACCTTCTCAGCTTCTCGTCGAAGCTAATAATATCATTTTTAATCCATATTTTGGTTCTTTAAAGTTGTTTTTAGGGATAGTTTCTAATAAAAAAAAATTAATTTAACCATAACTCTTAGCTCAACTAGCAAGTTTGAAATTCTATTTAATGTCAATTTCAACATTTTATGAAAAATAAAACAATTTTTAGTTAAAATTATTATGTAGTCAGGAAATTTTATAATTACTATTTATAGTAAATTTATCAGGAAAGCTCAATATTGTTTTGGATTTTTATCGTAATAGATAACTTAAATAAAAATAATAGTAATCATTTCCTAGTAACTTTTAGTGTTTAAAAAGGTTCTACAATTGAAATGAAAAAACCAATCAAAAAAAATTATTATAAAGATCTACTCAATAAAGCGTATTATAAAATTTGATTATAATTGTAAAAATTCATTGTTAAATTCAGGTGAAACTAAAAATTATTTTTTTTAGAAATTGTTTATATGGCAACATGTTAACAAAAAATTTGGAATATTATAGTCTAGTAGTAGTTGCACACACAAATAAAGTAAAAAAAATAATAAATTACAAAGTAAAATGATTTAATATTGTAGTTGAAATCTATTATCTTATTAAACTTAATTTGTTAATAATACTTTGAAAACATCAGAAAATATAATTTTAGTTATCTGTATGGAAGACATGGCACAAGTTAAAGCTGAGAAATTAAATGATAGTTACAAAAAAACCATATAGTAAAATAATTTTAATATGAATAAGAAATTACTTCTCACGAGGGGCGACTACAGTGATGGGATCCTTGATCTTTATTGAATCTAAATAAGATAAAAATCAAATGAGTAGACAATTTTTTCTAACTTAAAAAGAATTAAGAAAAAAATTCAAAAAGTTCCTTGCCATAAGCGGGTTGGAACCTTGTACCCTAAGCGAGTAGTGTTGCCGACTCAGCAGCAACCGTATGTCGCCTCCGTTGACTGAAAATAATAGCAATTTAAGCTAATTTAAATTTCAAAGTAATTTTTCTAGACTTAAAAAAAGCAAAAAAAATTAACCAAGTTTAACTTTCTATGCTATATCAATTTGATTTATATAATATTTATGTAAATCAGTGTACTCACCTTGTCAGGTATTTTAAAATAAAATACAAAACCCAAAATATTAACACAAAAATTGCATATTTTTGAATACGGTAGTCATTTTTACCATGAAAACAAATCCAGAGGTCAATTTTTGTTTTCAAATTAAAGTATATTACATAAGCATTAATTTAAGATATATATAAATTGCGCTAATTTGTAAATTTTTGGCTAGGTTGAAAATTCCTTGAAGACCATTTATTCATAATTAAAAACAAATTATCTTCTGAAAAGTTTTGCATCAGGCTTTTCAATTTTATACGTTTGCCATAAAAATATTAACTATTTTAAAATTTTTTATAATTCCTCCGTAAAAATTACAATAGTAAATTATTAAATAACAATTTCATACTACATTGAATTACTTTAATAGATATTTAATCATATATTATACTTATAAATTATAGAACTACTAATTAGGAACAATGAAACTAAGTAAGAGTTAATTTTGCTTTTGAATGATCCACCAATTTCTTAAAATTAAACACTACAGGTTTGCATAGAGCGTTTCTTATGATAATGATTTCAATCACTATCAGATATTATCTATACTTGTTCCAACTATATCACGCTCACACTGTGCTGTGGCCCCACTGTGCTACCGTTTATTAGCTTCATGCGAAGCTGAGAAGGTATTAATTTTACCATGATGTCTATTGCCACTTTTTCTCAGCTCTCACTGGACCGATTTCATTCAACAATACGTCAAAAGTTCACAAATCGTATCTAATTGAAAATATTACCCTTAAAAATTGAAAAATTTTCCCTCGTTCCCCGCAATTGGGGTAAATCTCCAAAAAAATTACAATTTTTATAATCGTTAAATTTTGACTTTTTTTTCAATTTTTTTTTTTTAAACTTCCATAACTTTTTCAAATATCAACAAATCAACATAATTTTTTTTATATTAAAACCTTAGATATTTTCCTTTTATTTGATATCATTTTTTTGAAAATATAACACTTAACCTACTCACAGGGAGGGGATTTAAAATACTATTTTACAAAAACTAACTTTTTCAACTTCTTCTTCTTTTGGCTTTTTACAGGCCTTTCAGGCCCATTGCCGCAACAACCACCTGCCCCCACTCTCCTCTATCTTTTGCCGTTTCTTCCGCATTTCTTACTCCCAACATCTTCAAGTCTTCTTTTATTCTATCTGTCCATCTTTATCTGGGTCTTCCTCTGGGTCTCTTTAACTTTGGTTTCCAAGCGGTTACTTGTCCAATTAGTCATTCCAATCTCCATACATCCTATTCACACGCTTTTTAAGGTCCCAACAATGGTAGGTTCATTATATAGTTTTTTCAAGTTTTTATTGCTTTATATTTCATATTCTCCTTCATTGTTTCTCTCTGGGCCAAATATCTTCCTCAACACCTTTCTCTCAAATACTTCTAACTCTTTTTCATCAGCTTTTGTTGTCGCCCAGGTACTGCTTGCGTATAAAGCTACTGGTTTAACCAAAACTTTATATAAGATTACTTTGGATTTTCTTGATAATAGTTTTGACTTGAACAATGGTATCAGTCTGTGGCGGTCGAATGTTCTAGAATGTTCGGCTGCCGCCGCCTCTAGAAGAATCGTCGCTCTACATAAGCGTGTGGCGGTCGAATGTTCTAGAGAGTTCCGCCGCCGCCTCTAGAAGATTCCTCTGACTATTTAAGGGCAAGATCGTCGCTCCAGTCAATCAATCGATCAGTCAATCACTTACGCACTCTGTCTTAAACGCGCTTCGTCTTTCGCTGTTATTTGTTATTTGTTAGTTCGTTGTAATATAGTATAGTTGTTATTAAATCACAAAAGTGTTTATTACTTCTATATATATTACACCTCGCTACATTGGTGACCTCGACGATAACAAGTATGAACCCCGAAGAACTACGCAATCAATTGGAGGAGTTACGCCAAGAAAACGCTCGCCTTGCAGCACTACAGGCACAGCAATATCCAACAGCTTCAGTGAATCGCGTTGCCGTCAAGTTGCCACCTTTCTGGTCCGAAAGACCGAGCTTATGGTTCTCACAGGTTGACTCGCAGTTTGCAATCTCGGGAATAACAAGTGAGGAAACAAAATTTAATTATGTTGTGGCTCAGCTTGATACGCGTTACGCCGCCGAAGTAGAGGATATTATTACTAACCCACCGCCTACTGAACGCTACAAACATCTACGCGCAAAACTCGTTGAACGGTTGTCTATCTCAGAAGAACAACGTGTGCGGCAACTCATCAATGAAGAAGAACTAGGTGACCGTAAGCCATCACAGTTCTTACGACATCTCCGTTCCCTTGCCGGCACTACTACATTACAAGACAATATTTTACGTCAACTTTGGCTCCGCCGTCTACCATCACATGCACAAGCTATTTTAACCGCACAATCAGAGCTTCCTCTGGATAAGGTAGCCGAGCTGGCTGACAAAATTGTTGAAGTGCAGCCAGCCCCCTCGCAATTCGTCCATGCTGTTGCCACGACGAACAATAAAAAGGAACTCGATGTTTTAGCTGCCATTGAAGCACTCACAAAACAGGTAAGCGAATTATGTGCTAAACGCCCGCAACGTTCCCGCTCTAGGTCACGTAACCGTTCAAACGTGGAACTGACTAACGGCAAAGGATGGTGTTGGTATCATAGCACTTATGGAGAAAAGGCTACCAAATGCTAGGCTCCCTGCAAGTATCAGGAAAACTCCAACGACAGTCAGTAGCGGCGGCAACAGACTGTCCGAACCCGAGCAGCCGCCTGTTTGTTACAGATCAAATAACAAAACGCCAATTTTTAGTCGACTCCGGTTCCGACTTATCTTGTTACCCTCAACGGCTACTACGGGAACGACGCCATGCCACCGATTACGACCTCAGCGCGGCCAACAACAGTACCATAAAAACTTACGGGACGGTCCATCTCAATTTGAATTTAGGACTTCGACGCAGTTTCCCGTGGAGTTTTATTGTCGCCGACGTGAGTACTCCTATCATTGGTTCCGACTTCATGGCATACTACCACTTGCTGCCGGATTGCCGTACCAAACGTCTTATTGATGGTGTCACAGGCTTGGCTGTGAATGGTAAGGTTTCCTCTGTAAATCAATGCAGCATAAAATCAGTTGCCAACACTTCCCCTTGGGCTGCACTTCTCGCAGAATTTCCGGACATCACACGTCCCACCGGATTGCCCAGGACAATAAAACATCAAACAGTGCACCACATTCTTACGACACCTGGTCAGCCAATAGCCTGCCGCCCACGCCGCTTAGCTCCAGGTAGACTAAAAATCGCCAAACAGGAATTCGCGGAAATGGTCAAGGCAGGTACCGCTAGACCTTCAAGCAGTCCGTGGTCTTCACCATTACATTTAGCACCGAAAGGGGAGAACAGCTGGCGTCCTTGCGGTGATTACCGCGCGCTGAACGCCCGAACTATACCAGACTCCTATCCAGTCAGACACATACATGATTTCTCGCACAACCTGGCTAATTGCACGCTATTTTCCACAATCGATCTGGTAAAGGCTTACCATCAAATACCTGTTAATCCGGACGATATATGCAAAACAGCCATTACCACTCCATTCGGACTTTACGAATTTCCTTTTATGACATTCGGATTGCGAAATGCTGGACAAACTTTTCAACGCTTCATAGACGAAGTTACCAATGGGTTGGACTTCTGTTATGCATATATTGATGACATTTTGGTATTCTCTAAATCGGAAGAGGACCACAAACAGCATTTACGCACTCTTTTCGGGAGACTTTCTGACTACGGTGTTGTCGTTAACCCGCAAAAATGTGTATTAAGTTCGGCCGAGGTGAAATTTCTAGGTTACCTAGTATCTTCTGAAGGCACCCGCCTGTACAATATATAAAATAACCTGTACAAAAATCACATATAAATCCTTTCTTTCACAAACAGTTCTCTCTGGAGCAAAACTATGTCAATACTGCGGATTAAGGACTCCTCTCCCCCTCTACGCCGACCAGACAACTCACTCGTTACCTCAGACAAGGAAAAAGCAGATGCTCTCGCGGAAGAACCATATCATCTCTACACCAGCACTTCATATGTCAACAGTCATGGAGTCTCTTCAGTCAACTTTACCTATGGCTTTTCCTGCTAAACCAATCTCCCCAGCAGAGATAGTGAGTATCATAAAAAAAATGGCAAACAAATCCCCAGGTCATGACCTGGGGATTTGTTGTTTGATTCCTAAAAAAGTAGTTAAAAATCTCCCAATGAAAGTGATCGTCCATTTAACTCGTATTTATAACGCAGCCCTTCGTTTATCATACTTTTCAACTACCTGGAAATCATCAGTTATTGTCACAGTGCTCAAACCTGGCAAGCCGCCAGAAAACCCCTCCTCGTATAGGCTCATTAGCCTACTGCCAGTATTGGGAAAAATTCTAAAAAAAATTATTCTCAAGGGCATTACCAGTATAGCACAATCAAACAACATTATGCCTAACTTCCAGTTTGACTTCCGCTCACACCATGCCACAACTCACCAACTTCACCGGGTTGCTGACACCATCTCATCTGCACTCGAAACCAAAAAATACTGCGCCGGAGTCTTTTTGGATGTTGCGAAAGCATTTGATAGCGTCTGGCATGATGGTCTCCTTTACAAACTTAAAAATACTTTTCCAGCTCCACTGTACTTAATACTAAAATCCTATCTTGAAAACCCCTCATTTAATGTTCGTCACAACCTACAACATTCAAATCAATACCCTATCCCTGCCGGTGTCCCTCAACGCAGTGATATCGCTCCATTCTTGCATACTATTTATACGTCAGCCTGCCTACATCTAAAAACACTATAGTCGGAACTTATGCTGATGATACCGCCCTATTGTCAGCTTCTCCCGATCACAACATTGCGTCTCAACAACTTCAAACTCACCTTAATACTCTTTCACAATGGTTCACCAACTGGAAAATAAAAATGAATGAATCAAAGTCTTCCTTTGTTACTTTATCACTCAGACCTCACAACTGCCCAACTGTATCAATTAACAATATCATCATTTCTCACTCGAATGAAGTTTAATACCTTGGTCTTACATTCGACAGGCGCCTAACTTGGTCTTGTCATTTTAAAGATAAGCGTAAAAAACTAAATTCTAGACTCCATCTGTTAAGGCTACTCCTCCGTTCTAACCTAACCATACCCACCAAAATACTTTTGTACAAAACTCTTCTTCAACTAATTTGGACATATGGTATTGTAATCTTGGGTTCTGCTAAGGTCTCAAATAAAAGAACCATTCAAGCATTCCAAAACGTCTGCCAGCGGATAATCACTGATGTAGCCTGGTTCGTCTCAAACGAGACCTTAAATTCGAACCTCAAACTACCTTCAATCAATAATACTGCTGCTATATATTATAAACGCTTCCACACAAAGTTAAAAGATATTCCCAAACAAATAATACACGATTTAGCTTCTTTAACACTTCCTGGGAACCCTAAAAGACGCCTCAAAAAGAATTGGTACCGTGACTTAAAAACCTAAGAATAATAACTTTATAATATTAAGAGGTGTCTCAAATGTGCGACTTCCTCCTCGGTAGCAAACATAAAAAGTATTCAAACCGATTGTGCCCCTCTAAGGTAAATATGCAACAGCTTGTGTCATTGCCCCCATCAATTATATGTAAAGTTGACAACGACTTACTAGGATAAGCCCTTTAACAAGATGATTAAAAATGTAAAAATTTCTTTAAAAAATAAATTGTCAGGATACATTGAAAATTCTATAACAATTCCAATAAATCATTTATTTTCTACATTTTCCACAATCAATTCGTGTTACAATATGTTGAAATAAAAAATAGTTTAAAATGACACTTCTGATCAGGGAGGAGATAGTATTCATCAAAACATATCCATTACTAGTTTTATTTATTGCAGGACTGAAAATAGAAGGCATTTAAGACACCTAGTCTCTTACTTTTAAAAATGGTTATTTAGTATACCCTTTAAGGTTTATTAAAATATTCCATCGATTTATTAAAATAGTTGGAATGCTCATAATGGTAGGGTTAATAGTACTCCTACTTTTAATTCAACTTTAAACATTGATTAACAATAAATTCAAGGTTAAATATTTCAATTCATTTGAGTATATTATAATGAACCTAAATATTCCTTTTCATAATGAGTTAACAATGGTTTAAGGAATAATATTATGAAAATCAAATTTTACTGAAATGACTTATAATAATGAAAAAAATTGGTGGGTACGGAGATTGATCAATGAAAGTTTATAAAATAAGAGCCACCCCATTATACATTTTATATTAATAAATCTACATATACTGTATATACTCAATCAGGTAAAATAAAAGTTTGTTTTATGTTGAAAAGAATTTTTGTTTCTTATATATTCAAGACTAAAAAAAATAAACAAAATAATTGAGTTAAAATTTATTTCCCTGTAAATTTTTTAAATTCTTATAACAAAACCACAGTCACAATCAGAATTTACTAAACAGTTATAATTTTGGTAACAGTTCTAACTTTAACATTACAAATAGGACATTTTCCATTTTTGTTCCAAATTTGTTTAGCACACTGATAACAACTATAAACATGGCCAGTTTTACCATGGTTAAATATACCATTTTTTGGTCTTATTAAACAAACATTACATAAACTATCAGTTTTATCATTTTTCTGATTTGTAAAATCATCAATTTCTTTTTGAGATAAATTTAAACTAGATAAGCCAAATGAACCAGACTCTTGAGAATTTGGTAATGAATTGTCATTTTTACCTTCCATATTTGTGTTTAATCGTTTGATACCTCTTGATTTAGGTGATGGTTTATCTTCGAAAAACTGCATACGATACTAAAAAAAAAAAAGTAATTATTATAATAAACATTTGTAATTATACACAGAAAGTCAGTAGATTTTTTAATTTTGGTCTACATTAAAGTAGCAATCACAAAAAATAATTTTTGAAGTACAGGTTTAACATAGATCTCTATATGTTTAATCTAAATATTACTAGAACTTAACATATTCGTGTATCTGTTAATAGATTATTTAGTTAATTTTTAGTTTTTTTAATTATAAATAAAATTTGTACAAAATATTTTTGATATATTACACTTTTTTCTACATCCCTGTTTTTTGTAATTTAATTTTAAAATAACTGATTCACATAAAAGAATAAAAGTATTTTTTTTATTTTAACTTACTCTGAAACATAAATAGCAAAATTGAAAATAAGGATTAGGATTTTCTTTTCTACATTGGAGACAAGTTTTAAAACAAGCTGGTGGGGGTAAATTTGATTGTGATTTCACAACTGAATTATCCGTTTCATCTGGCAAATATCCATTATCAGAGCTCTTCGAAGATAAATTTGGAAAATTGATTACCTTAATATCCTAAACAAAATTATTTTGATTAAAGACATAATGTTTTACTTGGTTTTATAGTAAATTAAAAAATTCAATATAAATTTTTTGTAAAAGTAAGTGGTTTTGAAATTTTTTTATATACTATTCATTTAAGCTGGATTTTTATTATTAAATATTACTTTAATCACATTTAATATTTAATTATTTGGATCATTGTATTCAATTTTCTTAGACTTTAGGAGAGGAAACATTTTCCCAAAGTAAGTATAATTTTATTTTTACGACAATATAATTTTTTAAACTATATTTCAAAAATAACTAAAATTTATGTATCATTTATCTAGAAGGCTGAATTATGCCATATATATACAAGTATGTTAAATAAAAACATATTTATAGAGATACTTCAAAGAAATTTAATTAGATATTTACCTCAGATATAGAAGAATCTGATGAGTCAGAAAAATTAAAATCGTGTGTAGACGAGAATGAACTGACTACCTCAAACTCAGTATTGTCCGATTGACTAGAATTTTGACAATCACAGTCAGTTCCACAACAATTTGAAATAGATGACGTATCACTTTCATCAACAACTTGAACTATAAAATCAAAATCATTTATGTTATAAATGATATATATAAATACTTGTTATCTAAAATATTATTAAGTTAACAAAAGTTGTAATAGTGTATCCGGATTTATTTCATAGAGTTTCAAAAACTATTATAATTTTACATTGATTATAAATAAGTTAATATTTTTCTTACATTTACCGTTTTTAAAAAAAGGAAAACATTTTTCTATGACAAATTTTATAAATAATATGTAATATTTATTAAATAATTACAGTTATGTTGGTAAATATAATTAAAGCTGGTTTTATTAATTATAAGAAACAGATAAAATATAAATAGGTTTTCCAATTAAAAATTGTTTTATGTATTTTTAGGCCTAAAGAAACAAACAATATACTAGGAAATCAGTATTATTATTGAATTGAAACCAAATTACTTGTTGCTTTTGACTGCATACTATATACACTTTCGGGTTCATCTGAATCACTAATAGCAGAGTATAAATCTGGAGATTGTAGAGTATAAGTATAAATGTATCTTGATCTCTTTCCTCCCCAAGTAACATCATATTCATCATCATTTAAATTATCTATAATAAATTTAACACTTTACATAGTAAATAATACTAATGATAGGAATTTAACTATACCAATGTATTAGACAATAAACTCATTCTAACAGTACAGTGTACATACCATTATTAAAGCTTACATCTTCTGCTTGTCGTTTTAATGTTTGGGGAGGCATATCTAAAATGTATTTCAAGCAAAAAATTTAAATAACGATAAAATTAAAAAATAGTTAAGATGATATATAAATATGATTAATTAATTGTCTAACATAAAATGATTATTTATTAAAATTGCTGTAACAGAAATTGACTAATGAACCATTTATAAATTATCTTTTTAGCACAAAAAAACCGAACAAATGCATTTTACCACCCCATCGAGTTTTTTCAAATTTTTTTTTTTTAAACGTGTGTTTTTCAATGCTTTTTTCCAAAGTGTTTGAAAAATTGGTTCAAAAATTATAGCTTTTTAAAGTTGAAACGTCAAAAACTAAAAATAGCTCAAAAATTGTTTTTTTTTTTTGTTAATTTTTGGTATTTTTTCTCATGATAATATTGTGAAACTATAATGACGTAACTGTTACATAATATCCTCATTCTTAAAATCCTAAAACGAAAATTAACTTTAAAAATAAGGATTTTCCAAAAATTTTTTTTTCAAAACTATACACATCAAAATTACGCTATACGAAATAAAAATGAATTTTTCATAAAATTTTATATAAGTAATTATAATGATTAGTAATAACAAGAAACTCAATTAATTCAAGTTGAGCAAAAAAAAAAGACCACGATATGGTGTTTTACTTAAAATTGTTGATTCAATAAAATAAAAGTTTTTACAGTATATTATGTATACTAATTAACACTTGTTGAAAACAAAAAAAAAAAAAAAAACTATTACATTAGATATTGAAATTTTAGTATTCATCTTGATACCATTTAAAATAATTGCACCTTTGTGGGTTCGTACGCGGTTTTGCACAGCAGTAATACGGTCTGTCCTTATTACTTCCTGAACTAGTAATGCATAATGATGCTTCGGTATGACAATTACAGTTGTGATAATTTTCAGCCATGTATTTAAAGTATCGACAACGTGTTGGATCAGTATAATCTTTACGACACACAAAAAATTGCGTGTTACTCGATTCTAAATAACTATTAAGTTTATCCCGAATATTTACATTTGTCATTGTGGTTTAAATTTGTACAAATTTCCATTATACATCCATCGGTTCATAGTGAGAAAAAAAAACTTAAATAGAAAAAGAATTAAGCTGTTTGAAATTAAAACAGTGCATCTTTGTTACCAACTGTCAAATATAAAAATGCATTATCATAATTTAAAAAATGCAAAAATTTTTATAAATAGTTAGATTTGAAACTGATACTGTATGTATAAAATTTATCAGCAATACCTTTTCAGCAACAGTTTGAATTGCGCGACGCGACGTAAATTTTTTTATTTAAGTACCTACACAAATATAAATATTTTTATTTTTAGTATAATTAAATAAATAAAATTCGATTACTCCATCATCAAGAATACTTTTTCTAATTAATTAATGCCAAAAAATAAAAAGAACAGCAGTATATAACAAAATTTGTCAATGATGGTTGAAAACTTTGAAAGCTCATAACTTTTAAACTGGACTTCGCCGACAAAATTTTTTTATATATTCTTAGTCAGTATAAAAAACTGAATCAATTAAAAAAAAATTTTTTTTAAAAACTCGATGGGGTGGTGAAATGTATTTAAGCTCAAAAAAACAATTAAATATATTGATAACAATTCTGCATTAATACTTATTAATACGAATTAACATTTTATCTGAATTGAAATTAAAATGAAGATCACTACAACACATAACTAATAAATGTAATTTTTATATCTCATATATAAATATTAATAATTTACTTATAGAGTAAAAATTATTTGCTTGATCAGTTTTATATGAAAAACTTATAAATAAAACAGTATTGCGATAGGGACGTGGTATAGTTGGTCCAGTATAAATAATATCTGACAGTGATTAAAATCACAATTATAAAATACGCTTCGATGCAACTCTGTAAATAAATTTTAATTTTAAGATGTTTGTGGATTATACCAAAAACATAATGAATTGCTATTTCNAGTTTAATTTTAAGATGTTTGTGGATTATACCAAAAACATAATGAATTGCTATTTCCTTTATTATTCCTGATTACTATTTTTTTTTATTTGAAGTATAATTAATGAATAAATATTTATTAAAGCAATTCAACGTAGTATGAAATTTATATTTAATAATTTAGTATTGTAATTTTTTCGGGGAATTTATAAAAAATTATAAAGTAGTTTTTATTTTTATGGCAAACGTNTTTCGGGGAATTTATAAAAAATTATAAAGTAGTTTTTATTTTTATGGCAAACGTGTATAAAAATTGAAAGGCTCGACATAAAACTTTTTTTATAAAAATTTGTTGTTAATTATGAATATTATGAATTATGCAAAAAATGTTCATCAGGGTCAAAAATAAACTTTTATTATTCAATTTTTCGTGCTAATTTCAAATTAGCTATTACATTTTTTCACCAATAATTTTTGATATTATTACTAATTAATTAAAAACTATGAGGAAAATTTCAATTATATCATCTATATAATTATATACACCAAGTGACATAGAAATAATTAATATTTCTTTTGAAATGATTTATTACGATAAAAAAATAATTGAAACAAAACAAAATTGTTTTTAAATTATAAAAGATTTTGATTTTTTATATGTTATAAATAATCAATACAAAATTACATATTTAACCTATTTTTTTAATCCTTTAAAGTTGAATTTTGTGAGTTTATAATAAAAAAAAAATGTTGAATTTTCTACCATATTTTATAGCTCAATTTCATATTTGAAATTTACATTTTTAAATAGAAAATTTTATGAGAGTTAAAAAATTACATCGTTAAGATTAATTTGCAGTCAGGAAATTGTATTTATTGTTATTACTATTTATTGTAAATTTATCAGAAAAACTCAATATTTTTATTGTCATAGATCACATAAATAGACAGCACAGTAATCATTTCTAAGTATTTTTTTGGTGAATAAAAATATTCTACAATTGAAGTATTCCGAACATTAAATCATTAATTTTAATGATTTACTTAACTAAAAAAACCAATCGAAATGTTGTTAAAAAAATCTACTCAATTGAGTGTATTAGTTGTGATTATTTGATGTATCGTTAAAAAAAGTTGGTCCAGAGCTGAGAAAATAAAAGACAACATTAATATGAATAAGAAATTTCTTCAGACGAGGGGGGACTACAGTGATGGGGTCCTTGATATTTAATAAAGTTATTGAATCTAAATGAGATAAAAATCAAATGATTTAAAAACTTTTTAGCCATTTTCATTAAAATAAAGTCCGAATTTTTTTTTCCTTGATAAAGTATATTACATTAGCTTTAATTTAAGATATATATAAAAGTGTCAGTATTTCCAGAACACTTTCAAAAAAAGTTAATTTTTTGTGAAAAAATTGTCATTTTGAATCCTTTACCTGTGGCCAGATAAAGGGTCAGGTTTATAAAAAATACACAAAATGATATATGATTATTATTGTTATTCTTGATCCCTTTTCTTCAAGATCTTCATACCTCAATTTGATTAATTTTCTCCTTAAAGGAACTTATTTATTCTAATAAAAGTAAAACATTTTTTCTTTTAGAGTTACGTTGGATTTCATCTCATAGAAAATTTTTTTCTTTTAATTCCATGCCAATATAAAATTATGTTATTACAAAATATTAATGAATAAAAATATTACATATCCAATATAAAAAATTCCACTGGAGACAACAAGGAGACAGTTGATCCCTCTAACTTTTTCTTAGTCAATTTTATTATAAAATGAAAATTATTTATGCACCACTTTCAAAAAAGTGACTAATTTTGTTACAATTTTCAAATATTTCCCAAGTAAAATATTTTATATCTCTTTAAGAAAGGCAATTCAAAGGAAGAAATTCAAAAAAAATTTCATTAAAAAAATAAAACATTATATCAAAATTTGTACTTATGATATTTAATGTAAATAATATACATTGAAAAAATAAGTTTAACATAACAATTTAATCTTCCAAGAAAAAATATTGGCCAGCTCTTTTTTGCTCCACATCCTGGAAAAAAGGAACACAAATTAATATGAAGATACCTGAAATTATTGTAAAAATGTAATAACTACAAATTAAGAGGAAACTATATCCTGCTAGAAGATTTAAAATATTGAGAATATTTATAGATATTAAATATTTACATAATTCACATGTAGGCTTCTATATGTTCTATTAAAATTTTAGAATTATACAATTTCAATTTAAATTGATTTATAATATTTATAATCTATGAATAAATAAGTATTATTTTTAGTAGTTTATTTTAATCATAAATTACATATTAGAAACATTTTAAATGTACAAAAGCAATAAACAAGATAAAAATACTATAGAAAAATTATTTTTTCAAAAACTACATACAATTAAATATGACTCAGCCATTTGAAAGTGGGTAATTAACAAAAGTTTATTTTATTTTCAGTAAAATTTTTTTCTTTTTTCAAAAGAATTTAATGGGAATTAACGATCTATTATCAAAAATGTAATAAAAATAAGGCAAGGGATTACATCGCCAAACCAAGGTGTCATAGAGACATACTAGGCTACCATGCACTTCTAATTCACACGTTGATAAACTTTTATTTAAACTGACAAATTAGTGTGTACAGCTGAGAGAAATATTGAACATTGAGCTTAAAATTTGATTAAATATAATAAACTGAGGGGTCTAATTTACTATTTCTTACAAAGCACTCAAAATTAAATTTAATAAATTCTTCACTAAAATTAGTCAATTACTAATTTTAATACTTTTCAACTTACCTTTACAGAATTTGTTTTATTTATACGTGGGCGGAAGTTATTAGGATCTCTTCTAAATGTAATTCCAAGTAATTCCAAGAAACGATTCATTCCTGCTAACAAGCCTTGAGGAGCATTGGCTGTTGAAGTAATAGATGGTTGGCCTTCCAAGACTATGACTCTATCGGCTAAATATGTTGCCATAATAAAATCATGCTCAACCACAAATCCAGTTTTTTTAGCATGTAAAATAAATCTTTTAATAACTTTAGCAGCCACTAAACGTTGCTCAGAATCCAAGTAAGCTGATGGTTCATCAATTAAATATATGTCAGCAGGTTTTCCTAAACAAAGTGCAATAGCTACTCTTTGCAGTTCTCCTCCTGATAAGTTTTGAACTTCTTGATCCATTATATCATCAATTTTCAAAGGTTTCATAACTTCTGTCACAAATTGTGGGTGTACATAAGCATCTCTTATTTTTTCATGTAGAAGAACTCTAACTAAACATTGACTTTTTGGACTAATTTTTTGTGGTTTGTAACTTACATTTAACCGAGGCAAATCAGCTAAAATAAATTTTAAATATATAATTGAATATAATAATGTTAATATTATAATTAATATATTTGAAATAAAAT